CCCACTTGACACTGGTTTGACCTCTGGCATGTGAGCCGTCCTCCCCAAAGGCGGCTCTGCCTATGGCCTGACACTATCTGCTCTCCCCACACACCCGAGAAATGGGTGCATCCTCAGGTCAGCCGGGTCAATGAAATTCAAATTGAGGATAAATGATTTGTAAATCATGTACAGATAAGGAGCTAATGCGCCAAAGGGAGGAAGCGCTGGTGCTGTCACTCTCGTCAGTAGAGAACTTCTTTAAAACGAACACTATCCATACTACGTTTCCCGTGGATGCTTCCTCAATATCTTCTTGTTGACTTTCATCTACTGACTCCCGGATAGCCTTACAGTTTGTCCCGCTCGCACGAATCCATATTTACCGTCCCTCCACACTCGCACGCACACTCCAATATGTGCACAAGCAGCAGCGGCAGTGCAGAATGAGTGGACGTGAGAGGCTTGTAACGGTTCTCCTCCCTGAGGGGCTGATGACACCGCCGCAACTAAACAGAGGCTGTTGGTGTGACAGAGCAAGGGGCTCATCGCTCCCCTATTGCCATTCTGCTCCTTTACAACTTTACAAAATAGCCTTTTAATTTGCTGCAGCGTCTGGGGTGTCTGAATTGTGCCTGCATCAATCACCATCATCGCTGGGGGCCGTGGGCACTCGGTCCCTTGGGCCCTCTCACTGAACTGCCCCTCAGGCAGATCACTTTCTGTGCCCTCATATGGGGTAGGTCCCCCAATCCTCTCACCTCGATCGGTCTCCTCTCCTCTCTCTCTCTCTCTCTTGCAAACAACACTCTTCTCCTTGTACTCCTGTGCAAGTCATTACTATCTCTAACCGCTCAGCAAAGCCTTGATAAGAGAATCCTTTTTGAACGGTTTTAAGGAAAAATAGCCGTGATCGTCAAGATTTCTTTCTTGAATTTTTTCCGAAGCAGCAGTTTGGTTAGAAACAGTGTGAGTTTCTAAGAGTAACTTAATGTGGACTAACTTTTTCTCTGGGATGTTGTAGACCGAATGGCTCCCACTGCTTTGGTTCCACCATTGGAAAATCATCAAATATACAGTTTAAGTGTTGGAATGGTGGAGATGCATGTATGAATTATACAAATCCATGATATGATTTGGCAAGTCAGTGTAGTGGTGGTCAATTTAAAATACAAAGTATTGATGTGTTTTTGCGTGTATCATCTTCCTGGGAGTGTGTGTTTTTTTTTTCTATATTTAGCCATTCACAATTTATTGCTGAATAGGTTGAAGCCGGTGAATGTATTTTGGAATTCTTCAACCCATACTGCATGACAGTACCTCTGAATTCCACTTGTATTTGCCCTGTGCTACCTGTATTATGCAAATCTTGTCAAGCACACAATGCTCACACAGAGTATAGATCTGTGCTGTATGCTGAGCACTGCAAATGCCACGCTGTGCGGTTCCACTTCTCTGCTATAGAAAACAACGCAGGCAGGAGGTCAGTTGACTCAGAGCAGGGACGGTGCACATGGTGTGTTCTCGGGCCTGCAATGGATATTAAACTGTGCGCAGTGCCAGTAAGATGCACTGGTACAACACATGCTCAGTAAACTGTTTGTGAGCTAAAAATTGATGTGGTGTGACACCACAGTGCTGCAATGAATCCTATCGTCATAGAGGTTTTAACATAACTGTTATAAAGGCATCTTCTGTGTAAGAGGCTGCAGTTTGTTGGATTGTTGAATTGTATTGCATTATGCCTGATGTATTTTATATTAATGGGGAGGGGGCTTAATTTTAGAAGCACTTCTCAGTATTACAAGCAGTTTAATAGGAAATTAAATCATTTGTGCATTCCTGAGTTTCTTTGGCTCCCATTTTTATAATTTGGCCACATATTTCTAAGTATGTGCCTTTAAAACATATTTCCTTTTTACAGAAAAGGCCAATTTTCAACAATCAGCATAGTTTTTCCATCCAAATAAAATACAGCTTTTCAGTAGGCAATGATATTTTTTTTACAAGAACCTCTTTTTAAATAAATTGTAATTTTCAAAAAACATAATACAGTGTGCCATCATTGCCGAACTAGAACCTTTGGAAAAGTTCAAATGGCCCAGATGCTGAGAGATTTTTCTACCTGTAAGTTTCTTTATTTCATCTTTTAGTACTTGCACTAGTCAACAGGCTGAGCTAAATACAACAAATTTAGCTAAAACTATACTGTACCAAACACTACAGAAGACCATTGTCGGGTATAAAACTGTGAGCAAATTGCCTCTTTAATTTCAACCTAATAGATATAAGATATATATAATACAAGAAGTAGCAAGTCAGTGAGGTTGACGACAACAGAAAATCTTCTTAAACAAAATTTGCCCCAGTGTATCCTTCATACAAATACGGCTGTTATTTTGTCATCACTTGATGTTTTGACGGAACAATTCGTTCAGCACATACAGGAAGTTAAAGGTTAGAGGCCATCCTGTTTCACAGTCGGGAGCTCTCTGTCGAAAAGTATTTGCAATGCCACATTTTGTTGCCAGGTATTTCCCTCCTGTGTATAACTTCCCCATTCCACCACTACCTAATCAGCTATAATTGACTTTAATTAGCATCTAGTAATTAATTTTGTTTTCTACAAATTATTTGTATGAACGGTCCCAGTAGGTGGCCTGTTCATCTTGTTAGGGCCAATTAGCTGCAATTAACAAACACTAATGACATGGGGTTTTTTTTCAGTCCAAAACAAACAGCGTGCACCCTGCCAGAATCCGGTGCTGCACAGGGACCCTCTTGTGTGTTGCAGGGATACAGGGGGGCAGCTCACTGGGCTACAGCTTCTAATCAACACCTCTAATGGAGAAACACAAACCAAGGAGGAGACACTTATCCACACGTATCACACTTAGGACACCACGGAGATAATTACTTTCCCCTCTGGTCTTTCCATTGTCACCCACTGTTACATTTAAGCAAGCAGATCAGGTTTGTGGAACATAATAGGAGAATTCTTAAGCTTTTACAATTACTAATCTATAGGTTAAGGCTATTAGCGTGACACAGAAGAGGATACTGTACCGTATGCTTATATCTGACAACACATTGTAAACAGGACTGTCTTTTGGAAATCTATCAGGGAACAATGTGCTCCAATTGCATTATTGAGTCAGAGCCTTTTGGGCTATTGTAATGTGTAAGTAGAAAATCCTCAATTTAACTTTGAGAAAATCACCAAAAGAGATTATTATCTACACGCAATTATGTCATGTGTATTAGGTGTTTTACATGTTTTTATAGCATACCCAAATCATCCATTGCTGGCATAAACAATGTTTGGTGTGTTTGGACACACTCAGGTCATAATGCATGTACTTTACCCAGAAATTTCCGTCCAATAAAAAGTATCTGAAATTAAAAATGTATTCGATATGCAGTATAGAAAAGCTTTGCAACTTTCTCAAAATACTAAAGAAAATCTAGTTGCTGAATAATATAATATTAATTTGGGCCATATTTTGGTTTGATTGGTTTTCAATAATTGCTGCAGCTATCTCTGCAGGTCTATAGAATAAAAAAATCAAAGATAAGTTGAAACAATTTGAATGAGACCGAAAATAGAGCCATGAGTACACATGCAATCATTGGCACTTAACTTTGTATGTATGGATACCTATCAGTTGTCAACTTTCAACTAAATATATTTTTGATTTTGCTCGCGAAGTGTCCTTCCAAAAACAAAAATCTGGGCAGAAAAAAGCTGACTCACTCATTCGCGTTTAACGCAATGTGTCGGGGGCTGAGATATCAGCAGATACCAGGGAGCTGGGAGCTTGTATCTCCTTCCCCAGCGCACCAACACGGTGTGATAACATCTAGTGGAGACAGCCTCTGACCCGCGGAGTCTAACCGTTATGATCCGTGTCCTTTCAGACGAAATGAAGTATAGCCCAATGTTGGACTGCAACATTCATCAACGTGAAGAGCGTGTGTTTGGCATGTCCATCTCTCCTCCCCCGGAAACTGAAGGGCCAGTTTATAATATGATGATAATATTCTCCCACACAACCCAGGGAATAATGTATTATTATGACATCGTCATTTTCCCTTGGCGGGATATCATTAAGGGACAAATTATCTAATTGCAATGAAAGCATTGTTGGAAGGTGGAGACCTTTTTTTTTATATATTTTTGGTTCTTATTCACAGCTCCTTGGGCAGCCAGCACCACTAGAACATCTCGGAGAAAATATTCTCTGGACTCCTTCCATTTCCAATAATTAAGCACTAATACCGTGTCTTTATTTAAAGTTCTATAGCGCGCGCTGTTTGGTCGCGTCTCTTCCCGCTCATAGAACAATCATTTGTTGAATCACGTGTCTATTTATTTAAAAAAAATTTAAACGTGTATTTCATCGTATTTCACAAACACAAGTGTTATGCTTTCTTTCCATATTAACCAAAGCGCACGATGTGCTCGAGCGGATCGGAAAGGCTGCTCATAGGTTTCTCCTCGTGCTGACGTCACGCGTCTCTTAATAGGCAATAGGCTGAGCTGTGGGAGGTGCGCTCATTACGGCGTTTTCTCTTGGACTGGGAGCTTATTAGAAGGGGAGATGGGACACAAATGACAAGACTGAGCGCACAGACAGCATGCCGTCGTTATTTGTCCCCACTTTAGACACCACTCGGGATGCATCGCACAGTTGGTAGGTTTTTTTTTTTTTTTTCGTTCCCCAACCCGTAGAATTCGCACACTTCAAGATCGTCTCGACGGCCCCGCGATGATCTTCAGCCTATAATTTTGCACCAGAAAATGCTGTGTTTTCAACAGTCAGGCCGTCGTTCCGAGCTGCCGGCCCGTGCACGTGGATTGTCGCCCGGCGGAACAGAAGAGCCGCATTCGATCTCACGGATGGTGATGTGATTTATCCGATTCATTTGGATATTTGGTGTTTTCCGGGATCGTAGTCTACGCGGGACGTTGGAGAAGGACCATCCGCAGAGTAGTGTCTATATCCACCCCCCACCCCCCCACGACCCCCGCCCGCCCCCCGCTGGGCTGGGAATAACTCCGGACAATGCTTCAGTGTTCCAGCTGTGAAAAGCCTATTCTCGATAGGTTCTTGCTCAAAGTTCTGGACAGACCGTGGCACATAAAATGTGTCCAGTGCTGCGAATGCAAATGCACTTTGTCAGAGAAGTGTTTTTCACGAGAAGGGAGACTGTATTGTAAGAATGACTTCTTTAGGTAAGCATCCGTGTCAAGTGTCAAAAAAACAAACAGAGAAAATGCAAATGCTGTCAAATGTGTTTATTTTTTGCCAATAAAAAAACGTACATAGAAAGTCAAAAAATAAATAAAAAAGCAACATCAATGCTATATTCCAAAACAAAAAACGCATGTTACATTTCATTACATGACATGTCATTTAGCTGACGCTTTTATCCAAAGCGATGCATTCAACCACAGGGATACAAACACATAAGAGCAAGAAACAAGAAAGTGCAATTTCCTCAAATAAGCCAATATACAACTTGCTATAGATAAGTGGTGTAATAAGTACGATTTAAGTGCTACAATGTGTTAGTTTTTTAGTCGAGGTGGAGTCTGAAGATGTTGATCAAATGCTGATGGGGCCTGTTGTATTAAAACCTCTGGGCTGTGTTTAAGCTTCCATAAACACAGAGGGAGCTCCTTTGTGCAAATGTTACAGATATATTTTTTTGCATTAAATCATTAAATAGTTTATTCAAGCAAAGAAAATATGACATTATTCTGTCTACAGTAGGCCTGTTGGGCTATAATACAGCTATGTTAAACACGCCTTTATTACACGTGTGATAGCTAGGATTTGCACGCATAATGTGATTATTATGTAATATTGCTGTAATATTTTTCACGTTAGTTAAGATTAGTCTTTATATAATTAAATTATTTCTGACATGAATTGCCTCGAAATACATTTTAAGGCTGTCCTCCTCAATCTTGTGAACCCATCAAATTTATTTCAACAAGTCTGGTAAAAAACACTATGTCAATTATTACTGAACAACATCTGTATGCTGCTGAAAGTTGCCCCTGACTGTAGCTCTCCCTCTTCAACAGGACGTTTGGGACCAAGTGTGACGGTTGTGCCCAAGGGATTTTACCCAGTGATCTTGTCCGCAGGGCCAAGAGCAAAGTGTTTCACCTGAACTGTTTCACGTGCGTGATGTGCAACAAACAGCTGTCCACCGGAGAGGAACTGTACATCCTGGACGAATTCAAGTTTGTTTGTAAGGAGGACTATCAGAATAACAATGGAAAAGACACAATCCTCCTTTCAGGTGATGAATCAAGCCATTCGGGGCGGGGTTTTTTTACTGTTTAAAAAATATATATATTTAAAATTATTATTACTGTCATAATTTATTATGAGTCTTTGAACTACTTACAGCAGCATATTCGCAGCTCTATTAATTTTCGAAATATCCTGTCCAGATTGGTCTATTTTATTCACAGCGATAGCATCTAAATTGCGCTATTTTGGAATGAGGTTGTCACATCCACGTGCTAACTAACACGCAGCGTTTCATGTCGTCAATGGCAGTCACGACGTGCAGCGACCCGAGCCTCTCTCCGGGATCCCAGGACCCGCAGGACGACGGCAAGGACTCGGAAGCGGGACATTTGTCCGACAAAGACAACGACAACAACAACAACAACAACAACAACAACGAGAATGACGAGCAGGGCGCCGTCGGGAAACGACGCGGGCCTCGGACCACCATCAAAGCCAAGCAGCTGGAGACGCTGAAAGCGGCTTTCGCGGCAACGCCGAAACCCACCAGGCACATCAGGGAGCAGCTGTCCCGGGAGACCGGCCTCACCATGAGAGTCATCCAGGTAAAAACATAAAAAAATAGGCTGAAGAAACAAAAGAAAAGTTCAGGTCACACGGTGCGTCGAGGACATGCGCAACAGACAATAACGTCGGCCCATAAGCACCCGAAAAGGCTTTTATTAACTCAAAATGCGGGTGTTGATTGGGGACTTCGGGGCATTCTCAAGGGGATTGGTCCTAAATGCTGTGTTGATTATTATTGTTTCCTTTTTTTTCCAAAGCCAGTTTGATCCATAATCTTTGCTCCCACTGCGCTCCTAAAACCTGAAATAAAAGCAGGAGTCACTTAGCTTGTTGTGATGGACATTTTTTTATTAAGGTCCCCTGATGCAATTTCCTGTCGGATCGAGCCGTCGTTTTGGACATCGACATGTGAAAATTGTGTTTCAATGGACTAAACGGGCACCAGTTCTTATGTGCTTTTTACGCATAAAAAAAACATTACAACTTCTAGAAATAATAATGTGATATTTTGCCCCGAACTGCATTTTGATATTTTTATATCGCGATGCTATTTTAAAGATTTTACTAATTCAGCTCTTTAAATGTATCGACATATTTTTTTAAAAACGTTCACGCGATGACGAACTCGTTTCTGTGACGTGCACGCGGGGCCTCTGCAACGCACAAAGTTAAACGGGGACATATTCTCTTGTGAAAAGTCGTTTTCGCTCTCCTGCATGTGTCCCCCGCGCAACTTGTCTAATCCCTACATGCTCCCCCCCCCCCCCTTGTTTGTACGAAAGGTTTGGTTCCAAAATCGTCGGTCCAAAGAGAGACGCATGAAGCAGCTGAGCTCGCTCGGCGGCCGCAGACACGTGTTTTTCCGCGGCCAGAGGAGGATGAGGGCGCTGGGAGAGAGACTGGAGGCAGAGGAGCTTGGACACTTTTCCTATTATGGAGGTGAGCTGGATGTTTTGGGGACGCAGGCTTCATCATTTCCTTGCAATTAAAAGTATTTTACTAATATGAATTAAATTAGCTTCTTCGAATTGGTTTGCTCTATAATTTTACCAGTAAATCTGGAGTTCGGTCATTTTATTGAAAAAACACAACAAAATAAAAATCCATTTGAAGGGTTTATATATATTTTTTATATTGTGATACATGCTGTGCACTCACCCATATGTTTATTTGCATGCAGACTATCCCGGTGAATACTATGGCTCAGGGGGGAATTATGAGTACTACCAAGGCCCACCCTCGTCCCATGCTCAGACTCCTGCAGACTTGGGTTTTGTGCCCTCCTCTGTGCCTGCTGGTACCCCGTTAGGAGCAATGGACCACCACCACCCAGGGCACCATTTTCCCGGAGAGGTGCACTGTTTCTCTGACACGGTCTCTCACCATCCCGCGGACTCACCCAGTCCGGAGCCCAATATGCCGGGCTCAATGCACAGCATCTCTAGCGAGATGTGTGGCCCCAGCACGCCCTACACGACTGTCTCCCTCAGTGACAACGGATACACCAACCAGCTGTCACAACCCTCCTCAGAAATGAGCGAAGGCACTGTCTGGTAAACCGGCCGGCACCAAACTACAAAGGCACATTTGGATTTTGAAGGCAAATCTACTTCAAATCATTTTTTTTGATTATTTATTTATTTGTTTGTTTAATTGTCTTTTTTATTTATTTATTTATCCGCTTGCATTTTTGTTAAGCTATATTTAAGTATTTATAAATCTCTATATTTCTATGTGGTTATAATTGTTTATTGACTAGCCAATCAATAGATTGTTTTAATGTGAATTTGACTCATGAATACGTTCACAGTGCTGGGCCTCATTGATCAAGCAATAAACAACCATATTTATATGCTGCAAATTCTTTTTTTTTGCCACATATTTGATGCTATTGTCAATGAAATGTTAATGTGAAGGCGCATGAGAGCATTTAAAAAAAAAAAAAAACTTTTCAGTGTTCAACACATAATGACAAACAGCGCCCTCAATCCACGAGTTCATGTTTTATACAAGATATTATTATTTAATAACAGACTATGATTGTGATGTTCAATATATTTGACCAAATACCTCTCTCAGGACTGGAAACATTGTTTTTTTTTCTAAATATTTAGTAATTTTCCCTTTTCAATTATTTAATTACCATCACATATTTGCCTTCAAATGGATATCTTAAAATTGTATAAGTAACAAAACAGGATTTTACTTTAACATGAGTCCAACGTTTTATACAAGAGTATAGAACAGTCAACAGTTTACTTAAAGCTCCAGTATCCAGGGGTTTGAATATCAGCATTGTGTTAAACCGATGGACAGACCATTTACTGCAAACCAAACCAAACTGTTGTAGCCGCTCTATTTCACTTGCTGTGCTGGTTTGTTCCACGTCCTCATAAAAAAACAAAAACTGAAATGGCTAATGAAAACTTTGCCAAGCGAATGCGCGGCAAAACCCTTTGTGAGAAGCAGCGTTTCTTAGGTGTTCACTTCCCTTCCTAATTATCTGAAAACAGTCATTTGCAGCTCAGTTGGCCGAACAACCGGGAATTAAACTGTTTTTCTGTTTTAATGGATCAAAATGTCATATTACTCACATTGATGATCTCATACACTGCCAGCAGCAGCAATGTTGTTTTATGAGACATACTTGATTGTTCCAATTAAGTTTATGAGAGTAATGTTTACGACCATTCACTGTATAATAAAACATATATTGAACGTTTTTATTTGTTAATCAATTTGAAGAGGGACAAAATATAGTAGTAGTTCTGTTAAGTATGGGAGATGCTGGACTTTTTTGAGGTTATTAGGGAATCGATTATGTAAACAACATATGATTCAAACAGTGTTGGAACTTTTATTATCATCCTCCTTGTGTTCTGATGAAACCAGTGGCAGTACTTAGTTAGCTGAATAAATATGCATACAAACCTAAACTTGTAACTCTGAATTATTCCTAATTCAATGAATTGAGTGTACATCATTTTTTCCTATGGAGAGCACCTCTTACAAAATCCTCGGTTTAATACCTGTAACATTTGGTATTTGCCGTTGTTACAGATTGCTAAATCTTCACCGCAATGTCAGAAAATTTAAACGTTTCGACAATAATATTTAGAATGTTTTTTTCATGAATTTCATTGAGAAGTTCCCTAAAAAAAAGAGCGTCCTGCCGCAGCACTGTCAACAAAACTAGAGCTGCTCATCGTGGTACTGACAGTGTTGCCTAATCCACACAAAACATGTGGCCACCAATTGAACTTTCAAACCCAGGAGCAATCGGTCAGCATTCTTTTCGGTCGCTTTGCAAATGTTGGTGAGCTGTCGGGTTTATAGAGTGGCTGATGTCTACTCAGTACTGAGGAACACAACACCACGGACGACCAAATGCTATTTTGTTTTGCCTCATTTTCTTCTTGATACATCCAAGGAGTCCCTATACTCTCAAAAACACAAAGAGCTTTCCGATATGAGAGACCTTTCATAGAGAGATTTATGAATTTTAAAGTAATCAAGCACATAACATATAATAGTATGGCGTGAGTCTGACAACATTTGCTTTGCTATTAAGAAAAGGGCCTTTATCAGGCAATTGTCCATAAACTTGCATGAAATTAAGTCTTGCTTGCTGGTAGTGAAGAAGAGGCTGGTTGTCGACTGGAAACGCTGAGCAGGAGGCTGAAGGAGCAGCTCAGTGAAGCAGTGTGGGGGAGGGGCAGGAGAAACGAGTCACTAAACGCAAACTGCTGGACAGCATAGAGGTCGGTCCGTTATTTTTTCACATTTGTTTTTAGTGGGATTTTCTTTTTTTTAGATTCAGTTTGGGCTTGACCTCAATTGGTCAGCCGAACTGAACTTGATCGATTAGCGTGATGTCAGACAAGCAAGCTAACGCCTATCAATGAAACCAACATACCCCCAAAGTCCTGCATAATGCACTCTTAATGAACACCAGACATAGGCAGGTGGTGAAATCAAGAGATAAAGCTAACCATAATTTGGATGTCCATCTCCTACTTTCATTTTCAATAGCTCAATAGTAGGTCTCTAAAAAACATTTGGGTAAATAAGGCATTTCAACAACGGAATTATCAAAGAGGGCTGATCTCCGCAAGGTGTTTCTGCAACAACCGCTGCTGTGTTTCTGGTCGAGGGGAATACCACCCACAATTGGTTCTCTTTCCAGACATCAAAGGGGATGTAAGGCCATGCAACACATACGCCATTCAAATTCACCACCAAGAATCGTAGACCAAGCACACCGTTCAAACCAATAAAAGAGAGCCGCGGCAGCCGAGAAGCACGGCAGCGTGTGCGTGAGTATCAGGTACCACTGGAAGTGCACTCAGTGTCATCACGAGTGGCCCTTACCTAAACAAGCAATGAAAGGTGTTTTAAGAAAGTGTGAGCAAGCACAGCCACGAGAGGCCCCTGGTCATGCAGCCGTAACTGGCCTCCCGAAGCGCCCTGTGCTTTGCCGCAGCACAATGCGACATTAGAATGGACGGACACAGAGGTTCAAAGTCACACGCTCGCCCTATGAGATAACTACAGAGCCTTGATGTTAATGAAGGAATATGTCACCCTGCAATGCTCTTTGATGTGTTTGTAACAAAAGAGCTCTCCGCCACAAAGGCATAAAGATATGTGCGGCTTTATATGTCAATATATGCCCGAAGATTCATGGTTGTTTTGGTCTTTAACTGGGGATGGGCTGGCGGTAAGAAAAATATAGATATCATCAGACTCCTCCTCTATATGGATAGACCCTAACCTCCCCTGGAAATAAAATCATTTTGCTGTTGAAAGACAAATTCTACAAATGGAGTTCAGTTAGACACAGACTTTCTGGGGGCCTGCTGCTAATGGGGGAAAAGCTTGAGGCACCGTCTCCTTCATCAGCTGACGGTTGTTACGCCAGACAGTCCCATCCTGCTCTGGGATTATATCTGTTCCACCTGGCTTCATTTCACAGTGCATTTCTCCGTTACATCGTCCTTTCTCGAAAGCTGATTGAAACTGATTGAACTTTGAAGGCACTGGGGGCTGTATAGCTGCTTTGATTTGAGGCACAGTAATTCTTAAATGTATTGAATTGTCAGTGCTGGTGCTGATCCAACAGTAACTGTGGGAATGGAAACATTTTCAAAGAATTATTCCTACAAATGCATTATATATATATATTTTTTAGAAATACAAACATTCACTGAAGGTTTTAAATGGGGTCAAGTTCTGTTAATTAAGGCCTACCACTTTCAAACGTTTGAAGGTGATGCTATATTGTTAATCAAGCTAATCCCTGTTTATCTGAGCAAAATGCCACGATTAAGGGAGAGATTTGCATGTCAAACATGAGGCCAGCGAATCAATTAAAGACTAGTGATTATGGCGACTGTTGGACGAACCATGCACAATCATCTGTCCTCTGAGATTTCACTTATAGTGCATGTTTATGTGACTCTGGGACACATTCCTTGTTGTTGTTTTTAGTAGCTAAACACGCAGATCTGAGAATCTGTGTCAAAGAAATGACTGTTCATCCACAAGTGAAAAGAATAAATGAATGATAAACCTGAGCGCTAATCGTCAGCACTTGGACACGTTGACTCTGACTCTACAGGGCACTTGACTGGGCTGGAAGCTCTTTTCACTTAGTCTCTTTTTAATTGTTTTTCCCAACACGACACTGATCTAAGTGTCAGCTGGCTTTGTTGGATACTGTACTTTTGCAGCCGTTAGTGTAGAGGTCCTTTCAATTGGATTTAGAAAAGTGATCATTTTGCATAAAGCTTCATCAACAGACTTTTTATAACAATATTTTCACTCTTCGTGATGTAGTGTGGGAAAATGTCAACTATCTTCCAGAGGAGAGTCCATTAGGGCACCACGCTAATGGACTTGACTTCGATTGAATTGAGCAAAAGAAGAATCACATCCTGTGCCCATTTTCTCCTGGGTTGCCCCTGAGAAAGGGAGAAAGTATATCTTGAATGCAAGTAAACGCCGTTAAACATTACAACTTGACAGAGATTTTGATTGGATAATACTTTATTGTAATTTGACATAGAAATCCTTTTCATTTTCTAATCTAAATCTCATTTGAACTCAGATTTGGCCTTTTTGTCGTTGCTGTTTCTTTTGAGTCGCTTGCAAAATGTGGCCCCGTTTGCTAATTTGACTCTTTCTTCACATTTTGCTGTAGGCTTGGTAGTCCACTTTCTGCATGAAAATCATTCACACATACAATTTTATAATCAATGCCCACAGTAATAGGATTCCTCTGGCCATGGGCAATTAATACAGGGCCCCCCTCCACACCCCCCCCCTCCCCCCCCGCGCTGATCTCAGAGCTACGAGACACTGGCTTCTCCTCATTTACATATTTATTGCATTGGACTCAAATCTGGCTAGTGATTGATGTGGAGCCTGCCTCCTGAATTTTTAGCGGCCCATTATTATGAAAGAGAGGGAGGGGGCTGCAGCGCGTCAGTGTACTTTTGATTAAAGTTGAAGAGGACAGAATCATGAGTGTTCCCCACCTACTTTCTTTTCCTGCAGTGCCTAATCTGCAGGGCCAAGTGCTGAGAAGATTTCAGCGTGTTATAGCTATTGACAAGTCATTCACTTACAAAAGCCAAGGCAGATATGCTTGTTAAGATTTCAGTCAGCGTTTCACTTCTGCTGTTCATTTCTAAAATGCATTCGAATTTAAAATGTTCTCAATTATTCTAAGAAATTACCCTTGCAAAGTTTGGTATTCTAAATTATTTAAAACATCTGAATAATTTCAAGATTTATTAAATGGCAATCAGCTGCTAATATTAGTTGAAATTACATGCTGACATAATTATGAGATGTTCGCAAATCCGTGAGATCGACCAGTCGTGCTTTTGCTTTTGACAAAAGACGTCTAAAGCCAAATAACAACACGTAAAATACAGGCCTGACACATCACGCGGTATGGAGGCACAAGGAGGTATTTGATCCTCAGTTGGCTGTACGCAATGCTTCAAATTCTCCGCTGAATTCCTTGACATCTCTTTGTGTGCTGTGATTGTGGTTCGTGGGGACACCGAGACAAAGCGGTGACAACGACACGCGGAAGATTGGCGCTTCTCTCATTTGCAATCAAGCGCGCAATGTTCAAGTGTGAAAAGGCTCCACGCTGCAAAACGTACGTGTGCACGCGTGTGTGTAATGGAGTTGAAGACTAGGGTGGTGGCAGTTGTGGACGAGGAGAGGGGGGGGGGGGGGCGTTCATGAGATATAGTGTTTCTGCCAGGTCTACACCTCTTCTACTTCTCTGTATTTGTCTGAGCCACCAGGAGAAATGCACAACACATCACTTCAGCGTTTGATCATTTGTTATAGGTGACTCCTCCAGGGTCAAAAGTTTGTTTTAAGCTTTTCACAGCACTAAGCGAGGAACTACATTAAAAGCCCATTCACCTGAAAAGCGGGCCTACTTTGCAGCCGAGTTGATCACAAGCCAGTCAGGCAATTCATCAAAAAGAAGAAGCAGCTTTTGCAGCAGCGTGACCGCGCTCTACAGTACCACTGTCTCCCTTCCTGGTACTTTACCTTTCCCCGCCACCACCCTTCTGGAGTGACAGCTTCTGCAGACCTTAAAAAAAACGTCTTCATCAGGCTGATTTAAATGTTTCAAACCAACGCTGTCAGATGGAACTACTGTATGTGGCGTTGTCAAGCAACAATGATTCCCCCCCCCCCCCCCGGTTGGCAGCCTTCGTCCTTCTGAGGCAAAGGACAATGGTCACAAATAAACGATTCCACAGGCCCTGCGAGGAGCAGCAAACCAACATTTCCATAGGGAGTTGGCTTTCCACGCTCCGCCGATACGCCTGTAATGCATGCATTTTAATGTGGGACACCTCTCAAACGGCCCCCCACCCTGCTGGATTGATGTTTGCATTCGGCTCAACTATTTTAGACAGCATCTCTGTAGATGACATAACGTGTTAGAAGGCTTTAGATTATGAATCCCACTGCTCGTCTTGGCAAGACCAGCCCCGCGTAAGGCGTTGAACTCGAGTTGTTCGTGTCAGGATTCAACATGGCCGTGGGCGAAATGACAAACTCGAGGTCCACGAGCCAGTGGGTGAGATCACAGCGACTGCGTCCCCTTCTCACATGCAGTCTATTGTCACTAACATATTTGTTAGCTAGCGCACAAACATTTTGTTAGTTTGGCTGGTGGGAATGTCAATTTGTCGGCGTTCCCCCGGAGAACGCTTTTAATGAGATGCAGTGTCTGCTCGTTGGCCCGGCCTTGCCCACCCTTCCGGCACCGCACCGCGCGGGCCTGTCGCCCCTCGTCTGATTTCCATAGCAGTCAATGACCCGCAGTAATAACTGTGATATATGGCCAAAGTCGTAGCACCTTGCTTACTGACCTTTTCCACAATCCTATACTGGGCAACCTTCACCACCACCACACCATACCCCACCCCTCCTCTTCCTCAAACATCCCTCTCTCCCCCATCTTCTCCCCCTCCGCCCCCCACATCCCTGCATTTCATCGCCGGCTCGATTTACGCGGCTCGCCACACTCCAGTGGCTCCATGAATGTTAATGTCGGGGTGGTGGGGGGGGGGGGCTGCATGGTACAGGGAGCGGCTTCACCTGGTCTGCAATGCACAGCAACGGATCTTTTTGCATATTATTGTTCATATTAGAGGAGCTATGTTTCTCTCATGTCTCATAATAGTAAGAGTCTGATGTATGAGCAGCAGTATTATGACAAACAGCAAGCTAGTCACGGTGGACAGGAACTACTGCAAAATATTGTCAAATTATGACAATTTCTAGACAATTCTTTAACAAAATCAAAAATGAAACAATTGGTTGGTGCTGAGCTTTTAATTTAACATCCACTTTCTTGTTGCGATGTTTACGCTTGTGAATCAGCCCTCCTCTGTTTTCCTGGTGCTCACTTAGTCAGGCCCATGTTTACCAAGCCCTGACAGAATGAGAATGTATGCATTATGGGACGATGATCACAGGGTGTTGTAATCTTTGACCTCTGTGGCACGTTTTCCAAGCGCAGATAGAAGATTAGGCCGCTCGTGCAGCTGGCTGACAGGCCGCCTCTCCGCCCCTAGAGAGATTCACAACTATAACTGCACGCCGGCCTCTCTGCATTCAAGATACAATACGTCATTCATTTTAATTCTTGATCTATGGATGGAAATTGCTTTTCAGAAATTCAGGTTTACCCTTCATCATTTAAGTCCCTCAAACATTATAAATCATGTAAGCCTTGAAATGCATAGGAGAGTCTGAAGCACCACCATCGTAAAACTGTATGCAAACAAAGCCAACAGTGTGACCACGGTGTTTTATTTCCCATTAGGGAATCAGCCCTGAAGACAACTACACTGGGAGTCAGTGATCAAACTATATTTCAGCATGTTCTGGATACTAAATTTAATGGAAATAGTCTTTTTTTTAAATAATGTATGCCTTTCTGCTGTCACCTTGTGAAATAAGGTACCAGTAAGCTTTGGAGATGTTGATTCACTGTACAAATCCTTTCCATTTCACAATTCTAACCACATGATATAATAACTTTGGATTTATTGCCATGTAATGAGCTTAATTGTGTGAAAGAAGCATTTAAACGTACTTCGCATATCTACAGGAAAATACACTCAAGAAAAAATACAAAGGCTTTTCTTAGGTATACTAAAGTAAGCTTAGGAAGTGAAATGACTTAATTCTTAATTAATAAGGATCAAATATAATCCACTAAAACCAGATTCAAATCACATTGAATATATTTGCAATATTTAAAAGATAAGCTATTTTAACATGGTTACAAGAAATACAGAAACAAACTCACCAAAAACATGGGGTTACCTTAACATGAGAGATGCATGGCTCATGACCCAGAGGTCATCGGTTCCTAAACAGGACTCATACATCTGAAAAGTGTCTTAGTGTGGCTGGCCTGCTTTGCACTTTTCGAAAATGGTAGAAAAAAAGGCAGGCAGGCAGGCAGGCAGGCTGGCGGAGATGAGACGAGCTCTCCAGAATCCTCAGCCTGGAGAGAATGAGAACAGCTGGGGCCTGGCACTCCCTCTGTGTCGGTCTACTCATTGTCACGGGCAAAAGACTCTTGTTTTCAGGCAGTAATCAGACAGCCCTGGGGCTCTGTAAAGACCCTGTTCTCTTTTCATCTCAACTGTTGCATACACCCTGCTAATTGGAATTCTGCAACTGGGTCACAGGCATTGTCTCTCAAGTGCTGTCAAGTCATTGAGACGGGTGAATGTGGAATTATGGTTGCCTCAGATGCATGATTGAGTCTCCCCTCTGCGCTATCTTAATGCCTCCATTTCAATCTCTTCGCAGACACTGATTTTCTTTTTTTTTTTTTCTTCTATTAATATTTCTTGCTGCTCCCTGCCCCATTTTGGTCACAGCTCTGCCTGAAACCAGCCATCACTGTGGTTTGACAATTGGAAGGTATAACAATATATACATTTTACACATTACTTAAAAGTAGGTACTTCATTAAAGCAATAGAAAGTAAGCAAAGTCTTTCAAGACTGTTGTGATGTGAATGAATGTGTTTTATATAATCAACACTACTGATCCACATTGTAAATAGAAAAAGGGGCAACATAAAGCCATTTCCGGCCGGTATCCCCGAACACCCCGCGGTTTGTCTCTGATTAGAAGGAGAATTAGCCAGCCTAGCATGGCACCACAAATGAGCATAACCCTTTGGGAGACCAGCGAGACCGAGCAAGGCACATTTCCAATTATACCACCAAATGACTCATTTTCTTATTGGGCCTCCTATAATTGTGGTGGGTATTGGGTGCATGCAACTCAATTTGTCTTACATATTTGTTGGTAGAATGGTAAAAGAATTGACAGAGCCATGGGAATGAAATGAAAGAATGAGACAAACTTAAAAAAAAAAAAAAGAATAAGGATGAAATTGATCCCTCAATGTTTTCTTGATCTGCTTCATCCTCCCTTAATACTGTTGAAGTTTAAAAGGCAGGCAGAAAATGCCACTTTAATCATCTGTGGATTGAGGAATGGGAAGACGATCATTTTCGAGTAATCAGAAAATGTCTCTCCAGAGTAATAGACTGCTGAAATTAATGAGGCTTCTAGTGATGTGATTATCTGTCCTGAGGATCATCAATATACAAAATTAATTGACAAATTAAATTGCTAGAAATTCTTGAAAACTATATTGTTAAGGCAGCCTTACTTACAACAAAAATGAAAAATTTAACAGAAAGTTACATTTTTACACACACACACACAAAAATAAGTTGAGCAAGCTTTATTAAAACAGTTAGAACTCATTACAGTCAATTGTTTTCCATCCTTGAATAGGAAAGAACCAGTTACTTATAAAGCAACTGGGCTACATGTCACATAAAAAGGCACAACACTGAGTACAGAGCCATTTCTCATTGCTGACATTGCATTTTCTGCAAAGTGTATGACCTATAGGATCACGGTGCTGTTTTCTGACTAGCATCTACTCCATTCTCATTCAGGTTGAATTATTTGCCTGTCTATTGGTAACAAACTCAAGGTGAGAGGTAATATGCAATTTGAACATGGTTTTTCCAGAAACTAACATTAAAAATAAGTAACATTTCATACAAATGAGATACAAACTTTAAATAAAACAGTTTGGATTACAGTGAAAATTAGACAGCAAATGTTACATGTCATGTAAATCCAGTGAACAGTAGTCTTTGTTTTTTCAGACATTTCATGAGTTAGCAATCCAATTATGCACAAATTAAAAAATGATTTCTTCAGTAGCAAAAAAAAGATACACCCTGGATTTGGAATGATTCGTTTTAGCACACCCCACTTAAACTAGCAGTCCAGAAAAAAAACAAAAAAAACAGGGGAGATCAGATATATATTTTTTTAAACAAATATGCTACTTCCCAGTTATTAATGCTCATTTGAGCAGCGTCCTCTTTGTATTCATAAAATTTTTAAGACTTTGTGCGTAGGTTTGTATCTGAGATGCACCAGTTAAAACTGCAGTTTTGATACTGGGTGCATATGTGTGAAGGACCAGTATGCAGTAAAGTGCATCTGGAGCAGCATGCTCGTACTGTGCGAACAGAAGGGACAGCTGTGGTTTTGTTGTGAGACGAGAAGCCCGTCGCTCACTGCAGCCTAACTGAAGCAGTCGGGGTCTAAAAAGGGACCATGTCCCTGCTGGGCTCTCCTGTCTGGCTCTGTTGTAGTGTTCCCCGTCTTTGTTCAGTAACTAAGTGCTTCCTACTTAGGAGTGTAAAACCCCCTTTGGAGCCAATGCCCCCAGCAATGTGTCGTCATTGTCTACTTGGTCATCAAAACACTTGCGAATATTAACAAGCATATGTCACAAACCAGAGCTGCATTTTAATATGGAAGTTTTTAAAATGCATTGTTGTATAATGGAACCATCCACATCACCCGGGTCAACTGACCCAAAGCACATTATTACATATTAAGTCAATAGATATTCCCTGCACTATTTTTCAATTGCACTTGTTCAAATTACACAGGGCCATTTAGCGGACATAAAACTATTTTTTTATAATACGACAGAATGTCATAATTGTTGTCGGTCATCTGAACTCTTACTTAGTGAGAATCATCGCCAACGATTCATTTGCAACCCGGCAGCTGCCAAGCTCCATCATGTTGGCTCCTCCAGCCTTGGTTTCCAGCCCCCCTGGTTTCCAGCCCCGGTCTCAGTCAGGAGCAGGTCTGGCTGAGCCGGGCTCCTCTTGGCTGTGGCCCGTGCGGAGCTTCAGCCAGGCAGGGAGAGGGGGAGGCGGGGAGGGGCAGGCTGCCCCTAGGAGGAGCCCGGCGTCTCCACTGTGGTAAGGATGCGCACCACCTCGGCTCTCTGCGTGGGGGAAATGTGTTGGGTCATGTGCACGATAGAATCCATGGCAACCTCTGGATTGGCTTGAACAAGTCTGGAAAAAAGAGAATGGGGACAACAAAAGAGACATCATAATCATGCAAGGAGTAGTATTTGCATCATTCAGCCTGCACGGTTTAGAATGATTACCTGCGGATCTGCTTGAGGATGTGATCTCGGCGGATGTACTTGATGTTCTCGTCGATGAGGGACCTTGCTCCCTCTTCTTCAGCTAGTTGCCTCTCTAGCCATGCCACCACTTCTTCATTGTCATCCCACAGATAGGCCTGCGTTACAGGAGAGGAGATTCATTATTGCCAGCAAGATATAAAAGGTAAGGAAGTTACGGCTAGACATCACACAATTAAACCTTAAAACAATGTATCAATGAATTAAATGTATAAAATAACAGAAATTCGAAAAAAGAAATAAACAGAAAAAAGAAAAGCAAAGAAAAGATTGACGGGGACAAAGTGGGAGGCCCCAAAGTCGTCTTGACTGGACCCAAAAAAATTAGTATTCATGAGTACTGGCATCTCTGATCCCAAACAAAGCCAGGCCGGAGGGCTTAGCAAAGATTTGGGGGCTGAGGGGTTTAATGGGCTCTTGCCTTTTTTTATGAACAGTCCTGCTTGAGGTCCACAAGAACATTTAATACGCTTATTAATCATTTTTAATCTGTTTGCTTTTAATTAAGAAACAGCGTGTTGCTCTCCTATCTGCACGTGCCAGGGCTGTGATTAATTGTGGTTTGAGACAGCCAGTCCTGATTGGGATAATATATTAGCTAACAGGAAGGCCACTTCTTAGGGAGATCTGAAACGCTGGGACGGCTCCTTCTCTGAGCACTGAGGCTGGGCCGGAAGGAACAGCCTTCATGAATCTCCGAGGGAGGTTTATTTCCACAATCAAATAATCAGAGCATCTGCATTTCCGTACGATGATTTAACAGGGATGCCTGCCACATCTTTATCTGTTGCAGCTTGAAGGGAAGGAATGGGAGCATGAGGATGAAAATCAGCCTCTGAAATCACTCATTTACACACTGACCTGAGTGAACAAGCCCAAACGGCCAGTCATAATTAAGGTTATTCAAGACGGCACAAAAAAGCCCAGGTAGACTACTACTACTTACTATGTACGCCGATGAGATATTACCTCTGGTTGTCTACATTTTCCCCTCAAAGTCACTGAATAATGAGAGATTATAGGACAAAACCTTTAAGTAGGTGGTGTTTTTTTTTTTTTTTTTTCTTACCTTCACCGCTCCCTCGGCCTCCACAAACCAGCGGCGAAGCATCGCCTGAATCTGCCCGTCTGTCAGCTCGGTGTTGGCCGCTTGGATCTTCTTCATCGCCGTGTCCTCCAGCAGCAGCCGCCGCAGGCGCCAGTAGAAGAACTCACGGGACGTTTGCCAATCAAGGATATCCTGAGATAAGCCAAAAGAAATAATAACGTAAATGCAGCTACTGTTGACAATTCATTAAAAAAAAAACATACCAGTCAGATTATTTCATGAAGAAAATACTAAATATCTTGAAAAAGAAAAATGTGTGTACATCTGGCTTGTTTTTATTACATAATGCCAGTCCGTTGGTGTGGATTACTAAAATGACTCACAGAACATGAAACAGTCCGATTTAACACATAATACAATAAATGAAGAGATTTTAGAGCCTACGATCACAGTTCTCTGCAGAGGTACTTGAGTTGAACATGCAGACCACTTATAGTTGGTAAGTCATTCGCGTCCATAATGTGTGCACAAAATGTGCTGCTCACACAGCCAGAGGGTTCTTTCACAGATGGATGGCAGTCAAAGTGAGAGTGTGTGTGTGTGTGTATGTGAAAGATGGGACTGGGAGGGCCCAGGATGAGATGGGGGCCCGCCGGAGGCTCACAGCCTAGTGAGACCAAAACATTATTCACCGGGCAGGTGTAGCAGCAGCAGCTAGACTGAGACTCCCCTGTGGACTTTTTACACACACACACACACACACACACACACACACACACACACACACACACACACACACACACACACTGCACAATGTAGCAAATACATGCCCGCCAGAGGTGCTCACCGTTATGACACCCTTCTCTTGCATGCGACCCGGGGTGTCGTGGAGGTCAGCAAACTGCACAGCCACCTGGTGGTAGATTGGCAGGAGAAACTCCTCGCGCTCCTTCAGCTTGGTCTCCAGCTCTTTGCGATCAGAGGGACTCAGCTCTGGAGTTCCTGTTGGAAAACAATACCGCAAGGTCAGGTCAGGACAGTCAACATAAAATGCAAAAATCTCTCCAGGTTTTCATTAGGAGACGATTTTTGCGACACATAATCGCGCTTGGTGCTAATAGGGTACAGCAACTATAGTGTAGGAGGGTTTGGGTGAATTAACACTCGCTAACAGCGTTTTTGTTTGAGAGATTCCCCTCAAACCCCTGGCTGCTGTCACCAAAGAGTGATTTCTGTCAATTCCAATCTGTAATCTCTCGAACCGTCCGCGGCAACCCTCCATTCCACCAGTTCGCCCGCAGCGCCAAGCCCCACACAGCATTGGACCACAGTTGCTCTGAGCCCAGAGGAAAATCAATAGGCTATGCAGGAGAAACAGGAGAGCCGGTGATTGATCCGAGCAGGCTGTGATTGACACGTCTCCCAAGGGAGTGCAGTGAAGATGATACAATCAACGGCAAATAAAGAACGACAGTGAACGCACACATGCTCCCACCAGATGTATTGCTCCTTTTCTTAAAAGGGGCCGACAGGGGCAAAGAAAACCAGTAAAGGGCTATGATTAGAATTGAAGTGGAGGACTCACCCAGTCTTTCAGCCAAGCCCGTGTAGACTGGATCCACTCTTCTCATTGTCTTCACCAGGTCCTTCCTGCGGAATTTGATCTCCACTGTTCCCTCTGGCTCCAAAACCCCTCCTCTGCAGACGAGAATGATTAAAGTGAACAATAGCGGTTTGGTACACATGATACTCACTGTGCAGTTTTTTTTCTTCTTCTTCTTTCAGTCCAAACTCACCGGCTGTCCCGGTCAGCGTACATCTCCATGTGACGCGGGTTGATGGTGGGATCTATAACCACCCAAGATCCGCCCCTCAGCTCAGCATGGGGGGGAATATAAACCAGTACCGGCTGCTTGTACTCCCTCAGCCCGTCTACAATGTAGGCCCCGAACTTCAGCACCTGGTCGTACATATCTAAGAAAAGAGAGTTTCATGTGAGACTCTGGATGGCTTTGATTCCACATCGGCTGATTACCAAGCGAGCTGACCGAGTACCTTTCATTCCCCCAGAAAATCCCCTCCAGTTGGAAAACACCATGAGAGGTAGACCCTCTCTGTTTAGGTCCTTGATGGCCTGGGCTGTTTTGAAAGCGGAATCTGGGAACCACACCTGTCCTGCCTGCTGGATGATCTAAATATACAACCAGAGATAATCTGCATCAGAGGATTTGTGTCTGTGAATGCTAAAATTCTTGCCATTTCACACTTGAGGATACGAGTTTCTCCTACCTTTGCCTCCGAGTCCAAATTGGCTGGATCTGCTGGGATGGAAAGCTCCACTGACCTGGTTTCCACGGCGACCACCCCAGTCGGTATCCCGCCCAGTCTGCAGAAGGGGAGAGTTTTTTTTAGCGCTGTGATCTACAAACTACCGTTTGGCGTTTGTAGTAGTCTGTCGTCGCGGTTTAGCGTTCTGTTGGGAGACTCACCTGGCTCGGCCCACCACCACACTCTGAGCCCATGGCTGCATGATCTCCATGAAGGAACCCTGGTCAAAAAAGCCACTCTGCCAGGAACCCTTTGGAGCTGTATGCAGAGATGGTAAAAAGAGTTGATGATCGCAAATTGGAAATGCAACTGAATCAATCTTTTTCTATATTTTCAAAAACTCTGGCTTTTTTTTTTCCTCCTGCAGTCCGAGGTTGTGTATTTCTTTCCTCCGAGCCAAATAGTGGCAGCCAGGCATGATGGATGACTGCAGGAGGAGGCTTATTCAGCTCTTTTTCTGCATGCACACCCTGAGAAACATGCCCAGCCTGTGAGGTTTCCATTCAATTAAACCTCGCCTCTCATCACTAGCAGAGACGTTGACTGGCTTCCTACACGGTCCCCGAATCTCTTTTCTGTCTCAAGCTGTAATAACACTGATGTGGAACCTGCTCAGTCCTGACCTGCAGTGTAAAACACACGGGATCATGGATTGTTGCCTTTAAAAAGCACGAGGCTTGGCATCACGATCTCTTGATATTCTCCCTAGTAATGGATTTTTTTAACCTTTAAACGAAGGAATATTAAGATTTTAATATTTATATAATTTCTGATGACTAAATTATGAATATACTTTGTTAGGGGCCATCTCCCATTTATTGTGTGTTATATTAGCTGTTGACAAAGCATTTTGAATGAAAACGATGGTATAGGAAATGACTGCCGGGCTGCAAATAGCAATTGTTTTCACCATGAATTAGAAGGTGAATTAATAATTAACATTCAAAAATGAGTCTTCTTTGTTGAATCAACGATCTGAAATGTTAAGCAATTTAATTTAAAATAAATCAAACTGTGACAGGCGGCAAATCCTAACAACGGGGGAGCAAGTTGAATGTGAGAGGAATAAGGACGACGCCAGGCCAAACCCGATACTCCCTGAAAACTAGTTCAGATTAAAAGGTTTCTTTGGCCACTCACTCTGGCTGGGACGTCCGGCTAGCATCCAGCGAGGGTCATAGGGAGTCTTTGTAGGCACAAACTCCACCAGCCGATCGATGGGATCCTTGGCGATGAGGATTGGCACCGGACTAGATTTAGACTGAAGAAAGGAAGCCGTCTTTTAACTCACGGCGACGAGAGGACACGTTCAATTAGAACACGGATTGAGAATGCAGCATCCGCTTTAAAACTCAAGTTTAAGATTACCATAGGCATGTAGGACAGCCACGCCAGCAGCGCGACGACTCCTTCAAAGTCATCACAAACAGTCGCGTGGGTCACGCCGTTGTTGTGCATGATTTGAATTCCCCCAAGTTGGTTGTTTGATGTGTAAACTTCTCTGCCCAGCACCTGTGGTGAGAAGGAGAATGATAAAAAAAGAAAAATCTAATTAATCCCAGACTGTCGGACGTCTCATTAAAGCTTTTTAGGCTTGTGCAGAAGACGAGGCTTTGAGGAGGCCATGTGCAGAGGCACTGCTGTTGAAACCTGTGTGAAAACTGGAGGACCGAATTTCTGCCCCATTTCATGTCAATTCTACCTCTCTCGCAAAGCCTCCTCTCTCACATTTTTCCATCTACCAGGTGCGATAGAGGCTGTTGTTGCATCACGGGGAGATCGGAGATGGAAAACCACCGGACCATTTACCTTGAAAACTGCCCCAATGCCAACCTGGAGCCATAAAATCTCACTCGCAGCCCACCCTATTTTCATAAGCGGGCCAGAACAGGTGGCGGGGCCCTGACATGGCTCCATAAAAATCAGAGAGGAGCCCAATGCCTACCCTCCGCTCTCACCTTTTCAGCCATCATTTACTTTCTTTATTACCATTAATGGTTATGTATCTGGCTACAAATCTGGGCCACTCTCCTAAAGCTGTCAGGAAATCCTGCGGCCCCAGGAAACATTGCAGTCACCTTGACACACACAAAACCCCTTTGCCTCTGGCCAACGCGGCCTTCATTGGGATTTCACAGCAGAGAGAGAAGGGAACGAGATTTCAGAGGTGAAGCAGGGAGGAAGAAAATGAGGGCTGAACTGGATGTAACAGCTCACTGGGGTATTTGTTGGTAGTTACTATTCACTGCCCATGAAAATGTGAGAGCTTTCCAGCAGTTAATGGAATGATGATCTCTGGGTGGCAGCCTCCTGCTCTCTATTAAGTTCCAGTTAATAGCCAGGAAAGCGTACAATAAACGGTGAGAAAAAACACTTTTTCTAGCTGGTGAAATTAGTGGAAAAAAATAAACACACAACAGCCATTATTGCAAAACATCACCTCACTGTGCTGACATTTGTCATTTAACATCACCGTAGCTCCACTAGCCCAAATAGGTGTAAACAGTAGGGCCATCTAAAATCAATTGAGCTCCCAGCAAATAGGTATGCCATCATGGGGCCATTTGCATGATTTGTCATGTTGCAATCTGTCATCTAATTTGAAATGGAGTCATCTTAATTCCTTGACAAGGACAGAGAATGGAAAGCAAGACAAGAGAAGGAAGTGAAGCGTGAGGGGGCACGCACACACACACACACACACACACACACACAAACTGCATGCAGAAAACAAATCTGCCTCAGCAAAACTTTTCCTTTTGATTAAAAACAAATGATATGGGTGTCCTGCACCGCAGCCTCCGGCATGTCACTCTATTTCTATGCAAATACAACTTCATGGTTCACTTTCAATTATTCCCCCGTGAGTGGCAGGCAGGCCTGTGGCTGGGATCGGAGCTGGAATCCTAGTAGAACAGAGCGAGGAAGGAGGAGGCCTGATCACCGAGTTGGAACAGCGCAAATGCACACACTTCTGATTCTCTTTTCTTTGATAGATAAACATTAACTCAGTTATTAAATATTATAGAATTCGCGGTTTCTATTAAAATTTTGTAGAAAATAATTAATAAAAAGAGAGCAACACACATTTACGCCGCTTGCTTCCAGATCTGTTCTTCACACATCGGCTGACAAACTCACTATAAATGCTCTTACAATCAGTAAGAGCATTTATAGTGAATTCCTCATTCCTCAAAAGTAGATGCATAAATTGTGTGGATTCAGACATAACTCTACTTGGGCAAAAGCATTATTGTTTTTTTATTTTAAATAATCTGTGGGAAAACTGGAATTTGCAGTTTAATAGTAGCTATTTTTTACCTTGTTGAGGGCTCCTGCTCCAGTAAGGATTATGTGAGAGTTGTCCACTTGAATGGTTCTCTGGCCGAGCCTCACCAGATAGGCCCCAATCCCGATGGCTCTGCATGTAACCTACAGGTCAAAGACAATCCCGTCACGGCTTGCAAGCTAATCAACTCTAGAGCGTGTCTCCGTTCTCGATATATCCCCCAAATTGTACAGCTCAAAGATGAGGAGGGTTGTAAATGTATGCGTGTGGGTTTGTTGTACACAAGTGCGCCCACTCCAGTCTCACCAGGTTCATGGTGATGATCTCCTCGTAAGCCAGAGAGGATTCTCCAGCAATCATTCCTGACCCTTTCAGATTCTCCACACCCAGCCCTTCATCTTTTCCAATGATGTCAGTGATCCTGTACCTGCATGGCAACACATATATTCACTCAGAAGCCAGAGGTGACCCTCCAGCAGCTTTCCCGTCCGTCACCTCTGTTGTAGTCTCGCGTGTTTAAAACCCTGAAGATGGGAGCACTTGACTGACACTACAGCAATCTCAATTTCCTCGCGTGCAAAGATAAGTACTAATACTTAGTAAAAATGTACCTGGATTCTCCCTCATCCTCCACATGTTCGCAATGCACAGAGTTCAAGGCTGAAACCTTCTTGTAATCCTGAGGTGTGAGGTAGAGATATTTGAATCCCTGCAAACACAAAGAGCAAAGACTGCTTAGTTATGATAGTGATACAAATTCCAAATACAAAATCAATAATCTTCTCAAAGAAAACATGTAGGAAAGGTATAACTAGGGATCAGATGATCAAATACCGTCTTAAAGAAAGGCATGCGGTATATACAAATAAACAGCAACTGTTATGATTGCTGGCTGACCTTATAGGGGTCAGCCGTATCCTGCCAGGCAACGTGGAACATGTGTCTGATCTCCTCTGCCAGCCCGATGCGAGCGCCGCTGTTGGCCGCGATGTAGATCCGCGGGATGCCGCTCTCCCGTGCCATCTCTGAGGCCCGCAGGAACAACATGTCCTCCTGGGGTCCAAATGAGCCTATCTTGTGCGTGATGTCGTTACTTATGACGATGATCTCGCGTCCTGCAGGATATTCTGGCGTGCGCAGGGTCATCCGCCATGCCACCATGCCGATCTATGCACACAGAACCGAGGCATAAATAAAGAAATGTCTTAATTTGCTGATGAATTATGCATTTCCTTACAACAGTCATGTATTTAGAAAGCGCTTATCTTAATAAAGATTATGGAAAAATGTTTAAGCAAAACGGGTACAAACTTGTTTAATATCTGAGATAATGTATCAATCAATAAAAACTGACCTCGTTGCCTCCTGGCAGTCTGTTCATCTGCACCAGCTGGTCTTGGGCGTCGAGAACCAGCTCTGTGAAGGTGAGCAGCTCAGAGGGAAGGGGGCATTTTGGCAAGTGGGCGAACGTCTGGAAAGAGTGCCACTGCTTCTTCAGACCCTGGCACACAAAACAAAAAAGTCAAAATAAAGTTATTCCATCAACGTCATTTGGCCAATCGGTATTTCTAGGTACTTTTGTATCGTACCTGTCTGAACATTTCTGGAAAGTCGTAGACGTAGGTGGTGCCCAGAGACTGCGCCTGGAATCGCTTGGACTGCAGCAGGTCCTTGGTCACATAGGGGGTGTTGATGAGCATGCCATGCAGCGGACCTTGCTTGTCTCCATATGCTTGGAACATGATCTGTACAGAGAGAGTCACTTTAAAGATATGCTGACCTCACCATAATATCACTGTTATGAGAACGAAGATGATGATGGGCATTTACCTGTCAAGACTTTTACAGCATTAGGAACACATTTATCAGACCATCAGACAGGGTCATTCAGTTGTGACCCATTAGTGCACATATGTGCGACGCAGGCACTTTCACTCACAACAAAAACCTTTAAAAAGGTTGGTAGCATGTTTTTGTTTGCCTAAATCGTTCACCTCCACAATAAAACCCACTTTATCTTGCCTTGTCTTCAAGAAGACTTGTCCACCAGACTAATGGAACAACACTAAACTACATCTTTACACCAACAAAAAAAAAAATTGGCATGCCAGAAAATGCATATTGTAAAAAAACACAACATTTGACTTTCCAAGAGAGGCTGGTAAATTGCATTCTGGGAGCTGACATCCTAAGCAGATGAGATGGAAAATGTATGAGTGCCCCACCTGTCGGTCTTTGGGCCCCACCTGTCCCGTCCGGGAATCAGTGACCTCCTTGTACAGGCTGATGTCCAGGTAGTAGCCGGATTCATTAGTGAGGAAGAGGCGGATGGGGATTTGCTTTCCCGTTGGAGTCAGTCGGATGTTAATTTTCAGCTCAGCCTGCAGGACACGCAGCTTCCACAGACGGCTGCCATAACGCATCACCATGGAGCGCACGGATTCTTCAATCTGAAATTCCGTGAGAGCAAACTCATTAATAACACTGTGGGCTGCGTTGAAGAGGTGTGCGATTGTGATGAATATCTTCAACAACCTTCGATGGGTCCATGATGACTGTGGGGACAAAATTGAGGAAGATGTGGTTGCAGTCAGTTCGTACGGTCGTGTTGTTGAACGCCACCTCCAACTCGTCCATGGCCTCCAGTAGCAGACGCTCTGCCTCGTTGTGAAGGTATTCAAAGGAGGCCTCCTAGCAGAGGAGCAGTAGAAAGAAACAGTCAACAGGTGCAGAACTACGAGTAAAAAAAACAAAAAAAGGAAATCCAAGTTGTGCAAACTACTTTAGAAAAAGCGAACGTGTGGGTAGCGCCAGCGCAGTCTAACCTTTGTGACCAGATCAGAGTGGCGGATGATGGCCCGCACGAAGAAACGGTAGTCCGTAACCTCTGTGCCCACCTCCACACGGGCAGCACCCAAGTACAAGTGCATCTTGTGGTTGGCACACGGCATGGCGGAGAGGGCAAAGTTCCGCATGCGATTGAGCTCCAACTGGAACGCCAGCGCCGGCTCCAGATGGCGATAGATCCTGTCCTCCTCAAACTTTAGAGACACGGACACAATGACAAACAGAAACCACTACAGCGCTCTAAATGACAATGCACAGAAACTTTGCTGAGGAACTTTCTACGTTATAAGATCATCTAGTTCATTAACAGAAAATTGGCAATTTCAAGAGCCTTGAGTTGATGCAAGAGTAAAAACATGCCTGTGAGCCGAAGACTGTATTAAGTAAATTAAATTATGGTCAATTTCAAGCTCAGAAAGCTGCTAATGTGTGTCATTTCTCTTAAATGGGGGACCTAATTAAAGAGTTCATTACTTTAATGAGTTTTGGTGGTGTCATTGTAGTGAAACTATTAGGGGAAACAGAGAGGAAGAGCCATCACCGACTCCTGAAAGAGTCAAATTCAGCATTGCTGGGTGCCACACAATGGGCACACAACTAAAGGAAAGTCAGTCAGTCGGTTTTAGTTTTAGTTTCTTTGCTTTGACAAACTGCATCATCTAACCACCCACCTTGTCTCTGGCACGGAATGTGAAAAACTTGGGGAATTCTCTCTGCGTGAAAGATCGTGAGACAGAGATAGAAAGAACACAGATAAATCAATAATGTCTAAAACATTACAAAACATGGTTTAAGTAAATCAGTGTTAAGGATGCCAAATCAGGCACGTACAAAACATGGTTGTAAGTACATCCGTGTTAGAGATGCCAAATCAGACATGTACAAACTCGAAACCTAATCACAACAGAGGACAACACGCTCTACACCAGTAAGTGAGGAGCATTATGCAGCGATCGGGAGCTTGTTGTACATGCAGCCATCTCCCCACTCACTCTGCCACTTAATGAAATATTCCCATTTATCAGATGTAGTCCTCCACTTTCCAAACAAGGCAAGACCAATTGGGGGACGCGCTCATCCACTCGCAGGCCACACGATGATAAGGGGACTGTAAAGGGACACACACTGATAACCTTGAGCCATGATTTCGCACTGATTACGCGTCATATTCACCTTCGGAGATAAAGCAAACATAATATATTAAAAAAAGGGGGGGATGAGTATGCAGAATGGTGCTGACTACTGAAAACCACCTTCATGTAACAAGGGCCAGATAATAACGGTTAGGCGAGTTAGCATGATTAGCTCTCATCAGAGCGCGCTGTCCCATTGGAAGACAAATCAAGACCTATTGTCAAAAAATGACAGCAACGGCAAAGAGCATTCCTCAAATGTAACCCTCTTCTAAATCCCTGTCATTATCGTCCAAATGCTAGTGGGTGTTCTGTTGATAACGGGTCAATCCCGGGCAGATAAATGCTACCCGCTGCACTACAGCACAATAGGCCGCAGAGCGGATCACAAAACCGCTGTGATTGGGGGTTGATTCATGCATTGCTATTCATGCTAAAAATGTGTGCTCACATTGCTGCGTGGCACTTAGTATAGACATTTCATGCTAACAGCATGTAAGCAATGACTTAAGGGGTCTTTTTTGCTTTTCTTTTTAAACTGTAGCTCCGAAACAAAGCTGTGGCCAAACCAAACGTGTATTGATTCAGCACAACGGTGGGTTACGTTTCCTTTCTTTACGCTGGTGCAACAGAGTTGCATAAGCTTCCTCTTGAAATCGGATCGCTGCAGAGCATCATGGCTGGTAATGGAAAGTTCAAGCATTCCTGGCCGAGATGAATTTAATCCAATCCATCGGTCTGTTGATCTCATTAACTTCCCCTCGGTGGACTGCCTACATTATTCGTAAACGGATGCGTTTCAAATTGCTGGATGCCTTGTTTGGATATTGGTAGGGTGAGTTGGATTGTATTGATGGAACGAGTCACTCCTCCTCATTTCATTTGTTCTCCTCTACTTACATGAAACCTTTGGTCCACCTCACAGTTGACTTGCTTCCTGAAATCCTGTCATCACAAATGCAGCAAAAAGCAAAGCATGCAGAAAGAGATAGAGAGAAAAACGGGACAATAAGCGTGATTGCAAAATTTCCACATAATGTTGTTACAAACAGTAGTATTAGTAATTACAAAAAGAAAGTTGAACAGTTCCGATCATCAATCTAGAGACATGCGGTTCAGAAATGCTGAATCGGTGTCATGCAGCGCAGCACATTGTGGACACAGGTAGTTGATTTTGTAAATACTAAACAGGGCTCTCACCTTCTGGGCCACGAGGAAGGTAAGCCTACGTATGCCGTGTTCAAACAGCTTTGATTTCTGAAGTGGAGAAGAAAAAAGGCAAAAATGTCAAAATGATAATGAGCCCATTTCAAAAACATTTCCCTTCACAGCTGAAACCAAGAAGCCTTGTGGTTGACTGCTCCCACCTTCGAGTGAGTAAACTCTCTGAATATGGCCGCCAGCCCTTCGTCATCAATGTCGCTGTCCGTTTTTATGGCCACGTTCAGGATATGGATCGGCTCGTCCTGCACACTCTGGGCAACAAAGGCATCACAGGGTTCACTCTAAGATACACATCCCATAGGTCAATGACAGGCCTGTGACTCTCAGCTTTTTGTCACCTTGCTGTCCTCTTCTCCATACAGGACAGGATTGCCTCCCTCTGGGAAGGTTGGACTTTGGGGAGGAGAGTCAGAGAAGCAGCTCAGCACGTTGTTTATGTTCCTGGTAGAGGAGGAGGGAAGAAAAAAAAAAAAAAGGAAAGAAAAATCAGGCATGCGAATAATCCCACAGGAAACGCAGTCCACACCTGCAGACGGAATGCATCACAGTTAGGAAAGCATAAAATGGACTGACCTGGTGAACTCCTGGAATGAGCGGAAAGCCACCATGGCTCCCATGCGCTGACAAGGTGGCGTGAAGGACGTGTCGAGCAGGACGTCGCTGACGCTGGCAACGTGCACCATGCCGTAGTGGTTCAGGTTGGACGAGAAGGACATCCTAGGGTATCGACACAGAGCAATTACAATGGGAATCTGCCACACCACTACAAGACGCCCCCCCCCGGTCCACCTCCAAGAACCCCACAGCAGCTTTGATCCCACAGTTTCTGGGAAATATGATTTGTGAAAACACACAAAAGGATGCGTTAGTTGAAGTGTTTTTTTATAATAAAAACTGAATGAGGTTCAAATTATGAAAAGCAAGAAGGAATAAATAACACCAGCGATTGTGGCCGCACGGGTTGGTCCAATTAAATTCCTTTCCACAAAACCACCAGAAAGACCCTGTTAAGTATTCACATGTCAGTTGGTTGGGGGTTAGTCCCTGAATTTACACCCACTGAAAGCATTCAAGAGGTTTCGTATGTCAAACCTGTCCACAGATTCCAAATCGCAGGCCTTGTTTGAGTTATCATCCTTAGATTTACTATCTTTAGGGTCCAGGAGCTTAGTCGCATATAAAACCGGAGCCGACATTCTCCTGGCAGGACAGTCACAGTCAACGGTTTCAGGTCAGGAGATTTGCACTGGTATAACATGTAGTCTGCATTATCTTAACACCACCTTCACATCCACCATTATTCCGGATATCCACAATATTGAGGCACATACACGCAATCATTTGCAATACAACACAACACTCTATCCCAAAAAGACAAAGATACACACGGACTGAAGAAGTGTGTGACATAGAGGCTGAATGGCATCGGCATTCTGTTAAAAACATAGCTTTTCTCCATCAGGCTTAATTCCAGTCGCTAAATTGCTTTCATTTGGGGAAACATATGACGCACTAAAAAAGCTTAACAACCAAACAATCGGTTGACTTCGTCGCCAGATGAATTAACTATAACATAAATGACTGCTATGAGCAAGCAGCCAGCCAGTCGACAGCATACACGATTAGTCTGTGCAATGAAAAGAATGTTTACAATACCTGTTTAGAGTTGGGATGTTCCCTCTGCAATCAAACAACATTGATTACTAAGTTGTTAGTGGCAGGCATAAGGAGAGGAAGACAGTCAAGGTGTCGCAATGTGTGTGTGTGTGTGTGTGTGTGTGTGTGTGTGTGTGCGCCCTTTAACGTGATGGATGTATTCTGTGCTGATCAATATCTAAATGCATTTAATTAATGGAGAAATTTGAGGATAAGTAAATTGGTAGTGGCCCTTTAACCGTAAACACACATTTCACTTCCTCCTGACTGCTCCCCTGACAACATGCCTTATGGCCTGATAGAGTCAGCAAATCATTTCACACTCATGCTGGCTTTAGTTCACAGGGACGAACCAAACATGAAGCTTAGTTTGTAAACAGACATTGGATCGCATGCTTGTGATTATATTTGTGACGGCATTTTAAAGGATTTTGAAAGGAAGTTACTGCATAAGCAAGTCAAAACAAACATAGCAAAGGCCATGCCCAGCACATACACACAGACAAACTGGACAAAACCCCAAAAGGTAAGCATGCAACAGAAATGTCACAGTGCAATTCTGGTTTTAAATTCAAAGTTTGTGTAGGTTTTCTTCGGGATTCTCCAGCTTTACATGGAATAGGAGCACACCGGGACTTAAAAGGAGGGGCAACGGGCAGCTTTGTTGCTCAAGACCAACACACACTTTTGACAAAACGAAAAGATATTTCTTGGTCTTGCAAAATACTTTCTTTTGCACATGAGGAGCATTTACATGGAGAACAACAACACACAATGGCAGATAGTTGGGAGAAGAAGAGGAACCTAAAATGTCACTTCATTGCACTTTACTGTTAAAAAAAAAAAAAGGTAATTTACCAACAGCTCCTTAAATATTCATCTTATATTAATATAATCTGCATCGTAGCCATATGTTTCGTGTAACCACGGCACACCCACAACTATGCTACAAACACCTAGACGATTGTATAACACGTGTGGCATGTGAGGCTAGAGGAGATGCAACTGTAGAGGGAAAAAGGCCTCCTTTATACTGATCCGTGTCCATAGTGCCGACTAAGAGGGAGGGGGATGCAAAGCAAATGAGAATTGCGAGCGTTTCTTGTACGCGATACCTGTTGGGGTGCGAGGTGGGAAGCATGAACTGGAACTCCACTATACACGTGTTGTCTCTCAGCTGTCGATGCTGGACGCTGTTGAGCTCATAAGCGATGTATGCTCTGCGAACGTACACCTGCAGGCATTGCAGAGAGATTAGTTTGATATGCGAATCACCAGTAACATAGCATTCGACAAAAGGGGTGCATGAAAGGCAAGTAAAAGATGATTGTTTGTGTACCTCTAGGGCAGCCATCCTGACCACCTGATTACTGTGGTAGAAGAAGTTTGGCAAAACGTCAAAGATGGACGTTTCTGAAAGGATCAGTTTCTAGAAAAAACAAAAAAGGCAGAATTAATCATCTCAAACCCTTTCCACGTTTCCAGAGCATAGGATGAGGTTCCTTGTACGCCTACCTGCAGGTTCTCGATGCAGAATTGGTGGCCGTACATATCAATGGCAGAGAGGAAGATGGACTCCACCTGGTTGTGTCGTAGCTCATACGAGGGGAGGTGGGAAGCGATCAATACCTGGACACAAGTAAATTAGTTCATGCACACCTTTCTCTTGACTTTTTTGAAAGGGTCCATCTCTAACCCTTTTTTCTATGATCTAGATTCCAAAGGTTGTATTCACACTTTCTATTTAGTTTTTTTCCAATAAAAATAAAAAGAGTAGATGGGGACATCTAGTGGTGGGACTCTCACTGTGCACCACGGATAAAACCATTTAACATGACAATCCTACATACAGCAGCCTTAACGCCTCCAGAAGAAGTCAAGCCACAGCACCATATCATCACAAATTTGTCCTTCAAAAATGAGGAAATGACCTCTGACCTGGCGGGCTCGCAGTGCCACCTTGGCATTGGTTGTCTTACTGAGCTGGGTGAGTTCAGTTAAGATGGCCATCAGCTCGTCGGTCAGTGTCGGATCGCGTCCACACAGCTGATCCTGGACACACGAGGGGACGCCGTTACATAGCATCGCTTTTACATCTCCCAAAAACTCTTTAGTTCGGAGTGAGCGTGGGTGTGTACTTACAATCAGCATAGTAACAAGCAAGTTCTTCTTGGTGACTTGAGCATGGGAGAAGATATAGTTGAGCACGTTGGCCATGTCGCCCTTGTTTTCCTCACGCAGCGCAAACACACACTTGTCGTAGTGTCCTGTTAACAAGCCAACGCGTAAGAGCTTTGCTAATTGAGGCAAAGGGGAACTGCAGAGTCACTGAGGAGCTCATTGTAAAAGAGCTCCACCGAGTGGACAGGATGAGTACGTTCAAGAGAGGACAGTTGCTCTTCAGGCCCTCACCATTCTGAAACTGGATCTCTACTTTCAGGTACTGTCTGAGCAAGTCCATCACCACGGCCTTCATGTGACCTCTGATGCCACTGCGATACCTTTCCAAGAAAAAACAAAACAACAACCACAAGAAGTATGACGCATTGTACTAATTGGGAGCAGGAGATCTAATGACAACTAAATATGGCAAAACCAATCTCAGTGTTACGAATACTAGCACGTCATAAAGTGATTACAAACGAGGCCTTTAAACTTTCTCTTCTGCCAGGAAGGTTATTCTTGACCTAATGCGTTCCAGAAGCTGGTCCGTGCAATCTGCCAATTTGGGTCCAAGGAAATATGAGTGATCAAGTTGTGCACTCACTTCTGCACCAGCTGAACGATGCTTTGTGTGTTCATAAAGAAGACTTCTCGCTCAGACTTCTTGTTCAGAGTAGCTGCATGGCTGTCCAGGATGTTGGCAATCTTGGGGAAAAAAAGAAAAAAGACAATATGAGACTTTAAGCGGACACTCATAAGGAATTAATCCCAGCGGCCATGAACCCTCAGCTAGCTTGCTCCCATTATGTACAGAGGGGGATCCTAAAAGAGTTAGATCTTACTTTCGTCTGCATAAATATGTCATACGAGGAGTGTCAACCCCCTTTACTACTTATTGTACTGTATTTACTATTATTTGCTCAGTATAAATATATGAATGTGCACAAAAGTCTATAGCATTAATACAACCTAAAACCAGTAGATTGTTTATATAATCCAGCAAATTGCTGGGAGACAAACCTCTTAGTAAGTTCATTGAACCCCGGTGTTTTATTTGTTAACACAATTCTTTCAAGACAAAAGCAGGACTTATTGTGCCTACTCTTATGCAGATATCCGGTCACTCGGATATATATTTAGATACACAATTTGTTTTAAATTTGGTACGAAAACAGTAGTTATCTTGTCAGCTGAAAAAATTACAGTGAAACTGAACACCAGATGAGACTGCAAAACCATAAATCATAGAAAACCGCTCTAAAAATGTGTTGTATACTTAAACATTACTAATTACTGTGGGGCCTACGGCGGAAACATATCATTAATTGCAAAGAAAAGTGAGGCCCTCCTCTGGAGTTCTACTGTTAGCGACATGGTGCACTTTAAGAAGAACCCCCTTCTCACCTGCTGGCTGGGAAACTGGCAGAGCACAGAGGTGATGTTGCTGGCGTACTGAGCCATCTCCTTCTTGATGGATTTCTCCACAGCGGGCGGGATGCGACCCGACACGCTGGTCATGATGTCTTGAAGCTCCAGCAGTGGCAGGGAGGGGTCGCGCATGTTTTTCATCAACTTCTCCACGCAGTCTTTCAACTAGAGCGGACACGAGAGGTTGGTTTCATCGAGGGCCGACAGTCGATGATGCGTGCCCGGGTGTGTGGGAATTCTTACCTTGGTGCTGAAGAGGGGCTCAGGGAGACAGTAGCCGTTCATTATGTGAACAAGGTGATCCAGGGTGTTGTGGAAGACTCTGTGTAGCTTCTCCCCTCTCAGAGCGACTGCCTGGATGATAGGTAGGGGCCCCGTGTGCAGCTCTGCCTGCAGGACCAAAGAAAGATATAAATACTGCACACATTTTACAACATTACTGGGCAGAACCCGTGGACGCTTTGTGACTAACCGGCTTACTCCTTAATGTTTGTTTAAGAAAGTAGTCCAAAATGCGTAGTCTTCATTTGATGATCTGTTATCCTTCTCTACTATTAGGCTGCCCCCTCGACTTGGTTCAGTTGTTGGCAGATGCAAGTTCCCGTAATACATAGGCAACTGCAAGTGCCACCCAATGCGTTTTTGCAGCATTCTCAATGTTTATTAAAATGTATCAATCCAAACTGAATACTTGAGATGCAAATCTGAGACTTGCAGCATTATCTTCCTCTTTGTCTATTTTGTCGTATTTAACGCATCTGCTAAAACAGCGGTTTGAATTGCATAAATGTCCAGCCCTATGTGTGTTTTATACATATTAACCTTTATACATCATACACCGTTTTGCCAGGCAATAGTAGATCCTACCAGGCACACCTGTGTGGATTGCACACGTCAGACAAACGATACCTGCTGCACTCTGCTTGGGTCATCCAGCTGCAGCTTGGCAATGACGCAGCCAGGCTCCAGTGCTGCTCCAGCCCTCTTCACGAAGTGAATACAACCAGACTCTACAGCGGTTAAGGTCATCACCATCTTCATCACCTGGAATTTACAAGTGCAAAGTCACATACCAATACACCTAAAAAAAAAAAAGTCAACTTAAACTTTCCAGCTTTCTTTTGAGCAACACACACATAAGCATTGACATACTGTACCTCTATCTCGGCATAGCACTGTCCAGAGAACACGTGGCCACCATCCTCGACGTTGTACTGGATGAGCTTTCCCGCTGAAGGAGATCGCAGCAGCGAAGGATCATTCTCTCTCTCAAAAACACAAGTCTTGTTCCCAATCGTGATGCGGTACCTTTCGGGGGGAGAGAGAGAGAGAGAGAGAGAGAGAGAGAGAAGACTTTCTCTTAAACGGAAACCAGAAATGAAAAGTCTGAAATTTCATACTACCCCGTGATAGAGCTTATCGAGAAATGATTCTTGATTTCTAAAGCGTGGTTTTCTCCGTTACCTGTCCACCTCTTCCTTCATGTAGGTGGTGTAGCTGCTTCCATCGTAAGACAGCAAAAGACCTCCGTCACTGAGCCGATGGACGTCCACCTCAGCAAAGGTGTTGTTCATGATGACCACGTAGGAGTTTGGACACTGGCGGGTCACTGTCAGGGGGTACTTAGTCCCTTCATAGATCAGCTCCACGTCCACAGTGTTGAGAAGTGTGTGTGCTGGCAGCACTTGGCCCCTGGTCAGAGAGTAGAGAGGATGTCAGAGTTGCTTTTTGTCTTTCTCATTTACTGCATATAATCATTTCTTCACATTTGTACCTTTCCAGAGAATGCAGAAAGTTGGATACGCTGTTTCTTAGATTGACATCGGCCACATGAAGAGCCCCGCTCACAATTCCCAGCATGGTATCGGGACGCTCGGCCTGCACACAACATACACTTTACTACTAAAAAGTTAAAATCAAACTGCATTGTAGCAGTAGGCTAAAGCACAAGTCTTACTATTATAACAATACAAACCGTATCTTAGATTTAGTGTGTTTATAGCACTGACAATATGTCAAACTAATCATTTCTTTTATTGTATTCCACAGCTGTTTACTATCTCCACATACCTGCATCTTCTCGGAGATGAGCCTGTCCAGCCAGCCGGTGTCAATGCTGTTGTGCTGAAAGCTTTCAGTCTCCAGCAGCTTAATGAGGTATTCCACTGTGGTTCTGAAGTCTCCTCTGATGGACAACTCCTTCAGAGCAACCACCAGGTTGCTTTAAAAAGATACACAACCAGAACAACAAAAAAATAATTGCATATGTTATTATCACTAACAATAAATCAAAAGTTGGCTGGGATGGACTCCAGCCCCCCCGCGACCCTGTGTGCAGGATAAGCGGTTTGACAATGGATGGATGGATGGAATAAATCAATGATTTTTGGTTGATCATTGTGACTAAGCAATGTTCGTTGCGGACTCACGAGATGGCTTCCTCCCGATTCTCTCCCCAAGAGAAACAGTGTCCAAACTGGGAGTCTGCAAACTCATGCAGCCCTCCAGCCGCCGCCACGCTGAAGTAGCCCCACACGTTCTTATTGCTGCGGAAATTCAGCTCTTGCACTGTGCCAGAGCTCGGCTTGAAACCCTGCAAACACACTGCGTTTAATCTCATATACTGAACGTTAGTACCAGCTAGTTTGACAAAAGGGAAGAACGATGGGCGACGGTGCAACAAGAATCCAAATCTTTTGTACAGCGGGAGAAAGTGAGGCTTACCTCGTCAGGGTTTTCACTGGTGATACGTGCTGCAATGACATGGCCCCGCGGGGAGGGGGCAGTCGACAAGCCCTCAAAGTCAATGGGGGAGTCTCCCCAGGGCTGGACGCCATAAAGCATCCTGATGTCTTTGATCCTTTGAAGAGGTATACCCATAGCAATCTGACAGGAGATAAAGGGTATTTTACGACAGAAGTTTATGCACTGGAACTGACATGAAAAGAACATTAAGGGACAGATTCACAGCCTCTGACAAACTGGGGAAACAACACATTGTAGCATATACATTGATTATGATTGTGTTTGCTTCGAATGATTCTGACACTTTACCTAAAAATACATTTTTGGCTGATAGTGGTGTTGCCTGGAAAAAAAAATAAAAAAAAGACCCTCATCCTTGATGGTGTGGGTCACTCGTACTGAAACGTCCAATCAGCTTGGCAACAGTTACACTGCTCTTCAGCTTGACTGCCGCTGACCCATTTCCACACAATCCCAAACACTGCTGAACAGGCCACGTGACCCAGTGCTGCTGCTACCAATGGATCTACTACACAAAGCTTCGGCCTACTGCCTCCTTTTGAAGCCTGTTGCCATAGAGACAGGGGGGCCTGTCTAGTGCCAAGCGATGAAGCGTGTTAACTTTGTCTGCTACAGGCGAGTCCCAGACTCAAACGTGCCGCATTTGATGCGCTCTTGGTAACACAGAAGGCGCGCCTGGGTGGAACTGACCTGCAGCTGGGCAGCAGGCAGGTTGACGTCGGCCACCATCTCAGTGCAGGGGTGTTCCACCTGCAGACGAGGGTTGAGCTCCAGGAAGTAGAAGCTGCCATCCTGGCTGTAGAGATACTCCACTGTACCTGCACTCACGTACCCCACCATCTTGGCAATCTTCACTGCACACTGAGGAAAAAAAACAACTCCGTTCAAATCATCTGGATGGATTTGCCTGGTCTCAGGCCTCCTTTCAAGTACCAACAATGCAAGCTGGAATATACCCGTTCCATATCCTCGAACACATCAGAAGTGGCGATGGTGGCAGGAGCCTCCTCTATGATTTTCTGGTGCCGTCGCTGCACGGAGCAGTCCCTGCCAAATAGGGAAATGGCATTCCCGTATTGATCAGCCAAGATCTGCACCTCAAGATGACGGGCATGCTTGGCCAGCTGCATGACAAATATTGGCGATCCTGGGACTTCTGCCTGCACCTGGAGAAGCAAAGAGAAGCAAACCTCAGTGGTCAACAAATGAAATAATAAGAAAACATTTTTAAATTTTGCTGTAGCCCACATTTTTCAAATTTTGATCTCTAATGGTAGATTTACACTATTATACGATGTTAGTCCTGCGTAAATTTTCAAATGAAATGCTGGATTTATTCAGAGTCTTAACGTACCTGTCTGAAGAGATTAGGGAATTCGTCCGCACAGTTGACTTTACGGATGCCTTTTCCTCCGCCCCCCTCTGAGGCCTTCACCATTACGGGGTAGCCGACCTTCTCTGAAGCCTGGCAACGGAAACATACAGCGGTCACACATGTAGCTCGGCACACTATACTTAAGCAAATGCAACATTCCTTTAGCACTTAAATGACATGCTTACTTTCAGGCCATCCTCGACGTCCTGGATGCAACCAAGCTCGTACACGTCGGACGGAACATTGATGATTTTCTTCTTTTGGTTACTCTCTGTCCATTCCACTGTGAGGCCTGAGGAAGACCGACGGATAACACGTTAAGCATGGTATTTTTCGATTTCTCAAAGCCGATCATGAACAAAAAAAAAAGACACAAACTGTGACATACCGGCGCCGCTCCAGGGCAGGGTTGGAATGCCGGCGGTCTGAGCCACAATGGACGAGGCAATCTTGTCTCCCAGAGACCACATGGCCTGACTCGGGGGACCTGAGGTAGAGCTCATCAATGTAAGCAATACAACATGTAACGGGTAATGTGAGGGTTAGTTAAAAGGATGATCAGAAGACATGGGCAATGTAGGAAGCCGCTCCTACCCATGAAAGCGATGCCATTCTTATGGAGCAGCTCGGGGAGCTTGGGGTTCTCGGAGGCATGACCCCATCCAGCCCACACAGCCTGTGAGGACCAAGAGACAGCAGGTTTTAAAGTCAATGCCGCAGCTATTAGTTACTGTGGAAAAACTACAGACAATTAGAAGTGTGTGGGCATACTTGAACGGGTATCCGTTTAGCAATATCCAGAATGAGCTCAACATTGGCATAGTTGTTATTATTAGTCCCTCCTGGCACAGGCACGTAATGATCTGCCATTTTGATGTACTCTGTAAAAAAGGCAGAACCACAGATTTCTTCTTAGGTGAAGTCTTCTTCTTAACTAGCGGTGCATCCAAACTTATTCACCAGCGCCGATGTTCTTGCCCTTTGGGACGTGGTTTTACGCGTTCAGAGGCATCATTACTAAAAGCCCACCTGCATTGGCCTTTAGGTCCTCCGGGGTCACCATCACAACAAAGCGGATTGCCCTTTCGTTGCGAAACATCTCATAGGCCCATCGGCGGATGGAGCGCATGCATTTGACTGCTGCGATGCCATTGTTGGCGATGAGCACCTTGAGAAGGAAAATAGTTAAGTTACAAAGGCCGATTTGGCTGGACAGCGGTTTGTTTTCATCAAAAGGAAAGAGGTCGTACATATTGTGCGAAATCAAAATCTGCACCTTCTCGATAACCTTGTTGCCACCAAAGCGGGTGACAAATTCCGCGGGAGAAGCCACGGTGAAGTCCCTTTGGAGATCAATGCGCCGGCGGTCTCTGCCTTGCTTTACCAGGTGCAGCCCTGACATGCTTGGCCTGTCAGGGCGAACAATGTATTGCCCGTTCATAACACTAGTTTTGGAAAGAACAGGATATTATGTAGCTCTAATAACAAGTAGATGAATGTGCAAAAGACAGGACATGAATTTAGATAAATAACTGCCAGAAGACACCCATGAAGCAAGTGTTTTGGCAGCACAGCGTCTTAGCAACAGTTTATGTGTAACAGCGCAGAAGATTTGAAAAAAAAGACACTGTTTCACATCATGTTGATGAGAAGCGGAGCCTTTGACTACTGAACTTTAAGGCTGGTGGTGTGACTTACAGCTTAATCTATCAGTAAACAGGAAAGAAAAAATGTATTAATATAAAAACATACTGGTAGGGATGATGGTAATAATTTAGGAACGTGAAAGGGCTCAACAAATTATATTTAGGGAGCTTACAGTTTAACAACAGTTGAAAACAGAACAGATCGTATAGGAGGGCACTGGAGGGCGTGGCAGCGCCTGAGGAATATTTGGCTGTCTGTGGCCTGATGGTGAACTATTGCATCACTGTAGGGCCTCTAGAGGTTTTATCGTTGAAGAGGAGGGAGGGGGGGGGGACTGACACACCATCCAGTATTTCCAGTTTTAAAAACCACCGCCCCGGCTTCTTTCGGTTGGGCCCCAAAGTTTCTGGTGTCTCATAGACAAAAGGTTTCAACACTCTAAAAGCGGTTTGGCACGAAACACCACGATGCGCATGCCAGTTGCCAGTTTGCAGAACGTAGAGTTACGGAACCAAATTGACAGATGCGGGTAGAAACATGTGTAAAACCTCACTGGAAAGTAAACAATATGCAATCATAATGAATGGCAATGCTGTACAGAAGAATGCGTATTGCATTTTAGTCTCAAAACCCAAATCTTCTGTGAGGAAAATGGGTTTTACGCAGCGTGTATTTGGAAAACTGACGGTGTAATGTGAGGTCTGGGCCACCCTGTAAAAAAAAAAAAATCCTGGGGCTGGCAAAGAAACTAAAGACTGACAGTACTGAAAAGCTCCCTCCGACGAAATGGGAATATCTGTGTGGGAACACTTATGCATTTTCCCCAAACCGATTTGCTGAGGTCAAAGCGTACGTTTCCAGCCCAACAGCTCATCGGGACACAAAGGAAGCCTTTAGCACTGGCAAGCTAGTGGCACTGCATATTTTCACATGCGCTGGTGAAGGGGCTAACTCAGATGAAGGCCTGCCCTACTTGTCTCGTTCAAGATTGCGAATCTCTTCTTTGTAAGCTGTTCGGGCAAAGCAATGATCCAATTGAAAAAAAACTAAACCATAGATCTCATAATATGTAAACTTATTGCATCACAATGGGTTCACGAGCAATGTAAATACAAAAATTGTGGAACTGCAAAAGAGACCACTTCTCGTAAAGACTAAAGGGGCTCTAACCTTAGATTGTGCTGGGGACCATCAATGTGGTCGAATCCCATTTCGCAGGTGCTGCTTGAGCTGTCAGAGGACGGCGACAAGGAGCGAGTCTCCCTCTCTTCCAGCAGCAGGCCGAGCTTCCCCGGGATCTCATCCTCGGAGTTCTCCTCTGATACGGAGCCCACCATGAAGTGCGAGTGCAACGCCGCGACGGCGGGGTCCTTCTTGGCCGCACCGTCCTGCTGTGCCATGACCGGGCGACGTGAACAGGCTGCAAACACTGCGCAGGAGACACGGCGGTTAGAAAGGAGACACGGAGAGGTCAGATATGAGGGTACAGTGTGTGTGTGTGTGTGGCAAGATGGCCCTGGCATGCAATGGTGTTTGTCATGTTGCAAAAGTGAGTTTAATAAACTTTAGTGCCTTGATAATGCAATCCGACATTGCAACACTTTGGACTCACACTGGGAACATCAGCAGATAGTGTGTGTGCAGGCCTGGATAAGGCATGAATTATTGTTGATGCCAAAAGAGTTGTATGCAAAAACGCAAGAAGCTTTGAATGATGGCGTGAAGGCTGTTCCTACTGTGGTCATCAGCTGCGAGCACCTGAAGCATTGTTTCAAAGTAACCGCAGCACAATGAAGAAAAATAAATAAGAAAAGCATAACTTCTGCCTGCATGTTAGATGCACTAAACAGTGCTGCTGCAGAATGAAAGAATAGAGTTTATCAAATGTTATTGTCGAGGACAATAACGTGATAACTGTATGCTGCCTTCAACTTGATTTCAGGGCACATTTCTCTGGAAAAAAAGACCAACTGTTAATATACAGTAGATATCCATTAATATAATATTGGACTTCACCTCCACTTCCTCGTTCCAATGAACCAACGAAAAGCACCTTACCAACGAGGCATCCACCGTCCTACTACCTGCCTTCGTGTTACTTCACGATACTACAACTATGTAACCCCACCACCCCCGCTCCCCCTCTCCTCTCCTCCCCCCAAACGGCTCGGGCAGGAGGAGGGAGAAGAATCCCAGGTATGGCACACCTTACCTATCGATAGATGGTTGCGGGACCAGAAAAACAAGCGAAGCACTGCGGCTACAAACACTGCTAAGGTGAGCAACGGGAACAACATCGCAAAGGCGATTTGGAAAACTGCGTTTGGCGGACATGGACGTCCGGGCTCGAAGCACATTAACGTTAGTCGATGACGTTGGAAATAAATAAATAAAAAAAAAAAAACGTCAACGGCTTTCCAGCTAGCACCCGGTTAGCATTCGGTCAGCTAACGTTAATCAACGGTGGCGTCACCTGTCAAGCCTAAGCTAGCGTCCCTAACCGGCGGATGCTAACAGCGTGTCACAGAAGCGACTAATACAATAATCCAGCAGTGGCACTGATACAGTTGGCTGTGCGCGCAGGTGAGCACTGTGCCGCAGCGTGGTCCTGAACCGCCAACGGTCTCAGATAAACCATCACTCACCGGTTGAGATGCACTGAAAAGTAATCCTGAAAAGGGTTGAGGTCTAGAGATCAGGGAATCAGTGGTGTCCTTTTGACATCTCTTTTCCCGGGAATGAGGGAGAAGCAGTCACATCATGATGAGGTGACAGACGCTTTAACAGCAGAGAGTGGGGTGATGTGATGATGCGCATGCAGGTTACTGTTGGACGTTGACCTCGGAGCTCAACTTCCGCTATAGAACTAGGTTAAGCTAGAACATACATCACACCCGAGATGGTTACATGTAGGATGTCAAATGGTCTGTGGGGAAAGAAATAATGAATGAATAAAATGATACAACGATTCTGTGGATTTAAAGATTTACACGCACAAAATGGAAAAGGATGCTGTTGTCATTTAAGTAAGTACTTGTGCCTTGAAAACGGCAAATCATTAAAACGATGTTAAACGTGTAAATAGCAACACAAACTTAAAAATTAAAACAGGTTAAAATGATAGGAATGAAGTTAAATACGTTATTTTAACATAGTAGTGTTTTTGTAGCTGTTCAATTCTAATGCACGTAAAATATATATTTACTTCTAAACGTCCCCCAATTACAGAGGACTTTAATTGTGATAGTCCCATTTTTTAAAAACATTTAATTTAAAGATTCAAAGATTCAAGATTCAAAGATTTTTATTGTCATTTACACACTGTTTACACCCTGTGTATTGAAATTCTTGTACTTGCCTTTCCGGAAAGCCGACCAATTCTAAAATAAAAATAAGAATAAGAATACAATATTTACATAAATGTACATGAAATAAAAAACGAGGTAAGGATGAGGCAGAAATGAGGTGACGAGGAAAAGTGCAAAACTGAGCAGGTTGTAAGAGAAAAAAACTTAAGTTAAATGAAATGTGTGCAATATAAGCGTGAACAGTCCATGTTGGGTGTGGGTGGGGTCTTTGAGAATGGAGGCAGCTTTCCTGTGAACCCTGCAGTGGTAGATGCTCTGCAGAGAGGGCAGTGTTTATTATTTATTATTATTATTTGTTGTTTTTGTATAATGTATAATGTATTATTTTCCTCCTTCATTACCTGGTTGTTAAAAGATCTGACACAATCTTAACGTCAAATCAACATTTACCACATTAGGTCTCCTGTCGTGTACAATTATGTTAAGACCCCCACGGCGTCATCTTGCATCAAACAACAACCTTACATGTTGCTTATATTGCAAACTGTGTACAGTTAATACGTTGTGTCTGTTATATCTAGATCTAGGATGGTGTCTTTCACTGACAACCAATCAGATTCCAGAGAAGGAGTTGGGCGGGTTTAGACGCTCAATGCGGAAGTGCTTGTCTTCTCTTCATAATGTCGCCCTGCCGGCAAACGGAACCCTCGTTGTAGCACTTTGCTCTGCTGTGTGTCTGCAGTGTGTCTGCTCAACGATGTCTGTTACAAAACGGCTACTTAACGAGAGTGTAGTTCTCATAAAAACATTTCTTGAATTTCCTCTAGGGATCAATAAAGTACTTCTATTCTATTTCAGATCGACTCGGTATTTAGCAACGATACCGCTGAAGGGGTTGTATTATACGCCTCATTGAAACGACGTGGTGGTCACAACAATGAATGAAAACCGGCTTAGTTAGCAAACGTTAATGTTTCGTGTGAAAAGGATATGCATAATCCTCCAGCAATAACCACATGTATGGCCAAAGATCAGCCTAGTGCAAGTGAGATGAGATAAGTCCTAAACATGTTACGTTTGTTGCGTCGATTTTAAGGTCGATTTCGGCTCCACGGGTTCTTAACATTAAAAAAATCATTAAAAACATGTAGAAAGATTTTATAGAATAAGTAATAATACATTTGAAATTTTTGGTGTATGCTGAGTGTACAGTGATTTGGTGAAATAACCTTTCGTATTCAATCTTTATGGTGCAGGTCATCGACGAAGGCAGTCAGCGCGCTGCCTTTGTGACCCACTAGATGGCTTCAGGGGCCATTAGTTTTTAAGTGAAGTAAACTAGGTTGAAATCGAATCGCCCAGTTGAAATCGTAGGATTATGGATTCTTTAAAATCGTTTCATTAAGACTGTGCAAACAAAATATCGACTTTTTTTCTTCATATTTAATTAATGTGTTTTGCCGCTTGCAGCTACAGTAAACGCAGTATCACGTTTTATGGAAAATATTAATGATATATTTATTTCAAGAATAAACAGTAGGTCTCCATGTAAAATGCTTGCTTTGAGACAATTGGCCTAGTCTACCAAGAGACCTAGTCCACAGCTCGATGCTTGATCATTGGACACTTTATCCGTATAAATACTCATTGTTGTGTTTATAAAGCATCTACACACCTTTCTGTTTCAGCCCTCTTGCAAAGACACCCTGTTGTACTTTATTCATGATAACAGGCTTACGGAGGATATTCCTCTGAGGAGCATTATTCATATTGCATGCTACACATGACTATCATCGAGTCTCTTAAAGCCATCCGTGTTGACATGTCTGATCTCACAGCACTTATTCTTTCAAAGCAGATTTAGAGCACCAATATGTTAAGTGTTCTCCCAAGAATATCTGATGCATCATGTTGCTTTGACTGTGTGTTATGATTTATTTAAAAATCCCATCAGAGTTTGACAGATCTGAGAAAAAGTATGCTTCTCTTAACACATTCCAAATTACCTGTAGAAGGGCCGCACCATGAACTACTATATTGACTTGTAGTTTCATGTAATGTGAGATAACTATCACACATTTGCTCGTGCTGGCACGTCAAACCGATCTAAAGAAGAGGAATATGAGCCAGGCCGGATGCCGTTGACGGGAGGAGAACTTTCCTCTCCTTTCGGTGCCTCTCTAAAGGACAACCCACCAAAAACTCGTCAGCGCTGCGGGGAGAAGTTTTGTGCTGTCTGCAAAACTTTGCGGTTGACCTCCTCGCCACATTTCTGAGCGGGTAGAGATGTTCATTCGGCAAAGCTACGCTCAGCCAAGGAGAAAATGCACACAATAGAGGTTTGACAGCAGCCTAGCACAGTGGGAGGGCTCTCAAATCAATTTTCCTCCTGGGAGAGTGCCTGACTTTTTCACACCAGCAGTTACAGCTGAAAAAAAGGAACACATTTGCAGTGGTCTGTCATGATTATTTTGTCCTTATTGAAAAATAAGCACAAAGGTGGATTAAAAGGTTCAACTGAGCAGCGAAATCTTTCTTTCCATAGACAGTAGAATGCAGTCAAACAGATTTGTGTTTTAGTTTACCAGGGATAATATTAGTACTGCGAACATTATGACATTCTTTGCAAAATTTGATATTTATATTTGGGGCGTTTGAATCACTAAGAAAGATTTTGCATCGACTAAATGATTCGATTTGTAATTTATAAATTCAGAAAAAGTATTTTTCAGTGCAGCTTGAGCAGATATACAAGCAGAGGAATTAGCAACTCAAGTGTAACGCTGCTGTCACAAGCAGAGATGTTTTGGGATTTGCCCTAGCAAGCAGTGAGCTGCAGTCATGCATATGGAATGAAGTGCATAGGGCCGCTCATTCACCTTTATTGCTCAGCCACCATTGCCATGGCCAAGGGCATGGCAGCAGCTGTTGCAAAGAACCCCTTTCAGCTTGTTGTGAAGCGCCAACAAACAATGCTGAAATGGAACATGTGAGTTTTAAATTTGATTCCCCTCTGTTTAAAAAAAAAGAGCTCATTATTGATCCCCAGAGAGATGGAGTAGCAGTGCTAAGATGTATTGTAAGAACGCGTTACAAGACCATTACTGCCGGACTAAGATCGTATGTTCCTCAAATATCCGTCATTCCCTTCAGAAGTGGCAGAAAGATAATGAGGCAGAGTGGGTTTTATTGTTAGAAGTGCAGCCAGGGCGAAAACACAGTATACAACAGAAACATACCGACAATTAATGACAAGCCAGAAAGAGAACGATAAGGACGGACCTTGCCGAAAAACGTATTTGCGTGTAGAAACCGAAAGCTTCATTTAGTCAAACAAAGTTATAGGATTAGGCCTGACATCCAGACAGACCCTGACTCCACGCCAGATGAGCTGGTTTAATTTAATCCAGCCCTTGCAATTCAATCCATCCAATCCTCTTGACACATCTATAATACATGTGACCATGTGTTGAGAAGAGTCATTCCCACAGACAGGGTCCTGACCCACAGGGGGCCACAGGAGATGAAATCAGGGTCGGCAATTCAATTTACAGAGCTTCTTGTGTTTTATTAAACGTTAGGATCAGCAGGAGGTCTTTGAACCACGATGCGAAGCCCGAATGTTCATCTTTTTACAATAGCAGCACCCTTGAATGGCTAACCTATGCTTTTTTAATTTAGAATTAAGAAAAACACATGTAACACCTGAACGTCCTCTTTTTATAATAATAATAATTCCCTGTCATAGTCAGTGTGTACTTCCATCTCGACTGATGTCATATTTTGCTTCAGCAAACTGAACAACATTTTTAGTGGCCAGTCATAGCCGCCTGCTCGAGGACCGCTCGTGGTTGCAGGGACCCACACTTTCTCTGAACACATTTTATTGCCTGTTTTACACTGAGTCCCTCTAGACTCCTAACTTGACCGGCACCCAGCTGGTACATCCTGCTAGTGATAAAACAGTTGAGTGCGTCTCCGAAACCGCACGGGGGAAAAGCAGTTTGCACAGTTTGTGTTCGGTGTTCTACTACCAGTGGACATAATGCTGAGTACATCGACACCTCTCAGCAGCTGCTACATGGGCACAAACCCTGGTTATTTTTGCTTTTAGCACGAGTTGTGTCTTATTCAACGACTTTGATGCAATTGCCTGGATGCATTGCCACCCTTTTTTTTGTTCAAATTAAATCAGTTGTACGATTCAGTACTGTCAGTAGATTAGATAATTGTTGGTTGTGTTCTTTTAATGACTCAATACAGCAGAAGCCTACAGACAGCAGAGGTAATGTGATGTTGCAGAGAATAGACATCTGAATATGTAATGTGCAACATCAACTATAGTATATATTATGAGCAATTCAAGAAAATGTGAACAACATCTTTATTTAAATTGTGAAAAAAGCACACGCAAGAACAATTCACCTGAATAATTTGGCAGACAATCTGCGAGATTGCTGAAAACAATTTTCTTAAGTGCTGGTAAAAATACATTTAAAAAATAATCCTGAGTTTCCTCTCAAAGTCCACAGTGCAGCTTTGGTACATCAACACAGGGTGAAACAGTTAACAGGTAGATTATAGATTTGTCATGATGAGGAAAATATGTACACCATCATGAGGAATGAAGCCAAACAAATGTGTTTTACTTTAAAGCACACTGTTCTCACCTATAATAACTTCACTTTGGGAGTTGAGTATTGCATAGCCGGTTCTCCCTAAAGGAATTCAAATTAGCATATTTTTCATAATTCTTTTGGTTCCTGTAAAGACGTCCTAAAAGCATTGATTTGGTATGTTAAAGACACCCCGATATGCATTTAACAGCATATCACAGTTTGACCATGTATTTCCACGTAATGTCAACTTGCTACACACACACAAATGTTGTAAATCTTCTGTTGACTGCAAATCACTTAAACAGTATCTTTCTGGCAGGATTGATGATTGATGTTATAAATGACATGTTGATCAGCAGCCACACATGCAGTTTCTAGCAAAATACTTGTTTTAGGTGATTATCACGTGCATTTTCATAAACCTGTGTTGTGTCCATCAGAGTGCATCCACCAGGTTTAACATGAAAAACAATAAAGTGTGAGTGTATTCTCCACGAGGTTGATTATCAAGTCCACCAAGTTATGTGTGTTTTGCAGCGCAGCCTTTGATGTATTCCGGTGGCAAAGTCTTTTGTTTGACCTTCATTTGCTGACAGTGATTGTCAGGCACTAAACTTGTCTCTCTGCTCCCAGATTTGGACGCCTCGGACTGTGAGTTTGAAGGGCCAGGGGATCTGGTTGAAAGCGGGTTTGGGCTTGAGGTGAACGAGGCTGGGAGCTGATAAGGGCTGAATCGCAACAATGGCCGAGAGCTGCGGAAACAGGGGTTTCTTGCCAACGTCGGGGTTGCCGAACAGGTGGGGAGAGCTGGGGCTGACATGTAGCCGTATGGATAGGAGAACAATCCTCCAAAGGGTGACAGTGAGATTCCCTGTAAGAAAAGCGAAACAGTTGTTATTTTAATAACACCATAGGATTTTTGATGTTCCCACATTGTCATTAAGAGCAGGTTGCATGTCTTTAAGATGTGAGTTCAGCAGAGAGGTTTTGTAGAGAAAAGTTGTGTTTTTTATTTTTTATTTCTTACTTGGTAGTTATTTTGCACCTACGGAGATTTTGCCCTTTAGCATCAATAGGTTGGGAAATACTGATAAAAAAAATAAATAAAGCCATATCGGTTGAGGCTTGTTCTGCTGCAACAAATTGGCCAAGGAGATTTGCATTCTCCAACACCTTGTCAATTCAGATCTCTTTCCGCATCCTTATCCAGCTCCTAATTTGAAGCGTCCATCCCAAACTTCAAATCGGCCTCCTATTCCAAATCCTCCAAACCCCTTCTTTACTGGCCAGCTGGCTCTCCCCCTCTCCCAAACCACGGAGGTGATTCGCTCCACTCAATGACATCACAGGGTCTAATGATATTTATATTGATGACATAAAACAGTTTTTTTTTTTAAAGGAATATTGCAAGAAAGGTTACACATGACCGCTGCTTGAGGCGCCTTTGATGGACAGCCCCCCCTCTTGGACATCTCTCAATTAACACATGTGTTTAGGTGTAAACTGAACAAATTGCATTTCCTCTCAGTTGATCAATAACATATGTTGTTTAATCGGAAATGAACACAAATTGCCTTTCATCCTTTTTGTGCATGCTGTTTTAAAACTGAAGTACTTACAAACATCACCGGAAGCTGATCACATTATTTTGTCCAAGAAAGAAATATGTAATGGGTCAGCTTACTGACATCAGAAAAATTAAATTAAAAACTCTATTCCACAGGGGCTAGAGAAGTCATCACGGATATTTGTTTGCTTTGATGAGCAATGCAAATCCGTTCCTCTTGGGTTGGTGACATCTATGAATGTACCATTTGAGGAGCCAGCAGCAGTTATGGTGACCGTTCAAATACATGTACGTGTGATGTAAGAACCGTACCTGAGATGCCAGCATGTGCTGTGAAAGGTGGAACATGAAGGGAGATGGAGAGGTGATGCTTTGAGAAGGTAGGCCTCTGTTTTCCACTGCAAGAAAAGAAGGCAACAGACGTCCCGCACCCTCTGGCTTCAATGTCAACTGTCCCGGGTCGAACAACAACGGTGCCCCCAGCTTCAGAAACTGTTGGCTATGCGCACTCGGGAAATCAAAAGTCTGAAGGTGACCAGCGGCGAGAGGCATTGAACTCTGCGTCTGCAACATCATTGGCAGGACGCCATGTGGGATTTCGCTCAGGTGCTTTTTTGAAGAATCCCTCTCCGCAGAGTACATCAAATCTGGTGATGGAAACATTGTTCTTTCTTTGGTTGTGTCCTGATGGCCGTCGCTCTTACTAAGACCAGGCCGGTTCCACAGTATCCCCTCCCTCTGCTGACTCAAAGAAGACGCGTATTCGTCCCTGGGATGGCCCCCTTCGGCAATGTCCTCTTCTTGTTGATCAACATCTGAAGCACTTTCAAAATTCTCGTCATCTGTGAGGATGAAAGTATTAGATATCATTCAATGAATGTGCCGTTATGAGTATAAGGAGCATATGCCTGCTTTGTTATAGCCGTGTATTATTATTGAGGACAGAAAGGACATGGTTACATCTGGAAACCATGAGGGAGACATTTCTGTCTAACCCCAAAGTACCAATATAGTTGACCCATCAAAACAAAAGTATTTCGACTGAGAGTCTGCAGTAACTTTAGGTTCAGATCCTCAGAGCCCCTGAAATGTCAAAACATAGCAATCTTCTGACCCCCCCCTCCCCCATCGGTGTACAAGATTTGCTGAAAAAAATCCTAATACAAGGTGAATTTACGAGCCAGGAGGACCCTGATTGGTGGAAAGTGGTTGAAAGTTAATGACCAAGAGTGTTTCTAGAGTCCATATAAAATAATGATTACATAATCTATTTTAAACTTGGTTAACACATCAGAAATCCAACAAGACCACAATTTCACAGAGCAGTTTGACGTGATACAAAAGAAAAGCTTAAGTACAAAAGTACTGACTATGTGTCATGGCTTAGTGGGATTCTTGAATAGAGCACAGCCGTCATTAGTGTTATTAGTAATACTCTTTTGGTACTAAGACACGTTTAAACTGTTGCTGTGAGATTTTCAGGTTACATATTCTAATGAGTCTGACTAATCTCACAGGTTTTGGGTCAGTAAACATTCCTAAGCTGCATTAGCCTACACACCATGCTAAGTAACACACCAGAAACCCCCACCGAACCGTTGGTGTTCGAGAAACATTCACGCTCACATTCACAGCTATTGTCAATTTAAAGTAATAAATGAACCCAAACCACATGTCTTTGGACTGTGAGAGGACCTGCGTGCAGACTCCACACCGATGGGCCAAAGTCAAAAGCCCAAAGCCTCGAAACTATCCAATTGACTTTTAAACATTAATGAACATTGTCTCTGTTTACTGATTGCACGTTCATCGCTTCAATAGTAGACTGCGAAATCCCCCACCTGGGCAGGTTGGTGTGGACATCAGAGGGCTGGTCACCAGCTCCCGGGGGGAATATAATGGATCACTGGTACTGGGTTGTTCACATGAGTCATCAGAATCAGCACAGTCCAGGTCAGCTGTGCGTTGGCTCTCGTGCATCAAAGAAATGGTTAAATGCTTACTCCTGTGGACAAAAAATTTAGATTAGGTAAATATATACATATATCTTTTAATATTATAATGAATAATGGTGGCAAAGTAAATACCTCTTTTCTCGCCTCCCATTTCCTGTTTCTCTAAATCCTTTGGCAAACGGATTGTTGTCGATTTTTAGTTGTGTAATCTTTGTTGAGAAAAAGACACATCAACGAGTTAATCATCACAAAAATACTGCTACCAGTTTGCATGAAGTGCATATGCGGCACTAATGAGGGCCCAGAGCCTATATGGTCCATATATATCATATTATAATGTCGGTTTCCAAACCATTCTAATAGTCGCAAGACTTATCCTGTCTTTCTCAATTTTTTTTGAATACAACATCACGGTCGTTGCCAAGTGCATTAAGTGTGCTGTATTTGCATGTGAGGTCGGAGCAGGCAGGGTGGGAAGGGTGGGGAGGGATGGGTTTTACCTTTTCATTCTGATACGCAGTGACAGCAATGAACTCCGTCTCCGGGAAGACGTAAGTCCGGAAGGTGCTGTAGGGAAGCTTCATTATGTCGTTGGCTCTTACAATATGAAACCTGGGTTGGTATTTATGCATTGAATTCAAAATTGTCTGGAAAAATAAAGACAAAGAAATCCCAACGTCAAGGTTTTCGAGAACGTCACAATTTTAGAATTATCATTTCAAAATGTGTTCTCAAAGAGAATGCCCTTAGGCTAAAGTAATAACATGGAAAAGTTTAATTATATACGTACATATCCATGCTTATCGGAAATGTTGTTGGTGAGTTTGAGTTTATGAAAAGCGACGGGTTTGCTCATCCACTGCTCCCCTTTGGACGGGCTGTCTGGATGGATGTACATGCGCTTTGGCATCTCCGGGTCAGCTTTTCCAGCCACCACCCAGCGGGTGTTGTGGAACTTGTAGCGGCAGTCGTCAACAGCGACAATGTCCATCAGCAAGATGTACTTCGCTGCTTCAACCAGCCCATCTACCCGCACCTTGAACGCCGGAAACATCCTCCTGTGGCAAAGAATTGACCAAACATTGATTTTTCGTGCTTTAGAAACTTATATTTGGATCCAAGGCATGCAAGGAGCTTCCCCTCTTTTCCACAAATTGAATTTATTAGGTTATTTATTACCTATTATTATTATTATTATTATTATAGCTGATTGAGCAATGATTGAACTTGAGGGCCCCGACTTTACTGTTGTATTGACTTCTTGAAATGAACAAAAAACAACCCCATAATAATAATAAAAATAAAAATAATAATAGTGATAATAGAAGTTACATCATATGGATGGCGTACCTTCCCGATTTTGTAATAACCATCTCCGTTCCCATTTTGTGAAACTCATTCCACAGTTTTTTGGAATCCAGCGTGACTTTCGGGTCATCTTCCAGCCCTTCCTCCATCGGCAGGCTCCGGAGGGACCGCGGTTGGACCGGCTGTTGCTGGCGGGCCAGAGCCGCGAGCAGCTCCGCGTCGGAGGCAGCCCGTCCGGGCGAAGGCTCGGGCCGCGGGGCGACGTCCGGGAAAGGCGGCCCGGGGAAAAACGAGGGCTGTGCGGCGGAGAAGAAGGCTGACAGCGGCAAGGCGCCCGCTTGACGAGCCGGGAAAGTATTGTACGCCATGGCAGCCGCTGCGGCGTTCGGTTCTTCCATCAGGGGCACCCGGTCTGACAGGTCCGCGCGGTAAAGTCTCAGCCCAACATGATGATGTTGCTGCCGAGTGGCGCCGCGAGCGTCTGCATCCAATAGCAACGACCTTTCTGAGAGTTTGAGAGTTTTGTAGCATGCCCGAGAGATCTGAGGAGGAGGGAATGCAACATTCCCGAAGTAGACGACGATAGTTGAGGATGGTCCCCTTTACTTGTCCGCTGGTAGATCCGCACGCGAGAGGGTCGAGCACTTTGGGGCCACGCGACAAGTTCAAACAAGCAGTGTCCGCGAGGAGCGAGGACAGACAGGGACTCGGAGAGACGGTGCCAACGTTGTCACCTAATGGGGGACATCGCTTCACTGTTGCCACCAATTTCCGTCTGTGTGTGCGTGTGTGTGTGTGTGTGCGTGCGTTGATGAGGAGGGGGTTTGTGGGCGTGGTTTCCACCCACAGGGAATTTGCCGGATTTCAGTAGATTAGACAGCAGCCTGGATAAACAGTATTAATAAGTGGTAAACCATGAATTAATCATAATTATTTTTAGCAACTTAAAAAAAACAAAAAACTTTTCATTGATTAAGAATAAAAATGATACTAACATCTCAACTGAAGAGTCATCTTTTTTAGCTCAGTTTTTCATCCATTTGTGTGTGTTTAGTTTATGAGAAACCTGTGCTAAAAAATCTAATAACACTATTATCAATACTAATCGATTTGAAACGTTTCTATCGTCTGAATTCGTGATAGGCTACCTGACTCATTCACTTAACCATATTTTGAAAACACCCTAGGATTTTGATGAAGTGCATGGATCTGTTAATTAAGGAGGACTCGGTGCCAGTTTGCTGGCGTCACGCAAAGAGCCAAAAGCTCTCTCCTGTCACTTCACATTTAGGCAACATTCCAAATCCTCAAGTTGCCTGCTCCAGTTTTATTTCCAGTGCAGTGAGCCTGTGCCGTTATGAACGGGAGAAACTGAGTCAAGAAATGAAATAGCAAGGATCTAAATGAGAGCAATGAAAGGACAGGCGCTTTGAGATGGGACAATATGCCTTTTTAGTGATGGAGACATATTTAATTTAACCCTTTTCATTAATAAAATGTGTTAAAACAGTCTCACTAGTCAGAGAGAAAAAGTCATTTTAATCAAAATAATTCAAAATAACAACGAAAAAATATGTAAATGAAGGAGAATCAAATGGGTGATAACACAAAAATATATTTAGTAATTTACACAAAGATAGTTTTCAATACTTCATGAATATTAAAGTTTGAATTAATATTTCAAGAATCTCCTGTAAAGAAAAAGGCGGTCGTGTCAACTGACAAAACATATTTCCCTTTCAACAATGTGATACAGTGTTGAAGTCTGCACTTAAAAAGACAAAGTCAAATTCAGTAGTGTTTGCTCAGTATTGTGTTTGTTATTTTGTCTATCACACACTATCGCACAATATCTGACAACACTAAACCTGCACCTGTATGGAAAGTTGAACTGAACTTAAGTTTTGAACTGAACTGTGATTCTGACCAACTATCAATTTTTATTCATATTTTCTCCAGTTGCCAAAATCAAAGCAAGCAGCAATTTGCTAAAAATTTAAAGTTTAACCACTGATGTGCTCTCTGTCTCTCCCTCTCACACACACACACACACACACACACACACACACACACACACACACACACACACACACCTCAAGCTTAACTTATCTTATTAACTTTTCTTAACTCCCTTCCAATTTCTATAGTTGAAATAATGGCTCTACATTTGCCTTTGATTATTTATTGGCACTTGCACATTGTCACTGATTTATTTATTTCTCTTTCTTTTCTTCTGGGATTTGTAAATGCTGCTTCTTCAATGAAAACATTTAACTGTGCCGTTACAACGGCTGGCCTTAAATGAGTGTAAGGTGAAGTGGCGGGCCGCTTGACAGTTACAAGGCAGGAAAGGCTCAAGGTAGGAAGTGACGTCCCACAAATGATCAATGGTCCCTTAGAGTGTGAAGGGCAATATCTTGAAAAACATGTTCCAGAGAAGATGGGTGGGGTAACATCCTTCTCCATTCCTTTCTGTGGATTTTCAAACACATTGCACGCATGATGTTGACTTTCAACTGTCAAAGAAAATGATTGGGGTTGGAAGAGCATTGCTTGGGTCTGCTTACCCTCACTCAGCGCTGGTCTATATGCCACCATTTTTCTCTGGGGCAGTTCCAGCTGCCAGTTCGGGTGAGGCGCCAGAACAGGAAGGAAGGAGGCTATCAATCTGAGTGATGGTGCAAGAATTTCACCTCTCCGGTCACGGTCCACACCTGGGACAAATTCAGAAGAATGTTGGGCCACTGAGGGTTCCGGGCGAGTCATGCAAAGGGCAAGTCAGTAAAGTAGGTATCACATCTGAACGTTGGAGAGAACATCTTAAATGACAAACAGGAGGAAGAGGACAGGATAACAACTTAGGTGAGGACTTAAGGTCTAAGGATTCTGTATTGCCTTGTTTTAATCGTGAACTCATCTTGGTAACATAATAGACACACACATGGATCTGCTTATCTTGATTGTAAGATCCAGACGATAGGATTAGTGTAGCTCCAAAAGCAGGGAGCTGCAGTACAAAAAGACTTATTTATGGATCCAATTATAAGTATCTCTCATGCCATGTGCAGGAACAATACCCTCTGCCTCCATTTATTTTTCATTGCGCATGAATCATGTATGGGCTGTTATATGAAAATGTCTGTCCGTGCTTATCTGGAATCATTCTTGATGTTATCACTTTCTTGAACTCAAGCATCTTTCTGAGCTCCGGCAGTGTGGAATGGCAATGTAGCTCATTACAACAGAAAGGGTTAAGATGATAAACTTTTTTAGAGAGCTGAAAACTTTGTTCTGCTTCTTGGCAGTCTCACATGTGTTTTGCTTTGCTTTCTTCATTTTCAGATCATTTCACTTTCGTGCTAGATTTTGCAAGTCTTTTACACCACGTACACACTACGTATACAATACTGTATACAGACTACAGATAGTCAGAGATCTCCATTGACTCGAAAAGGAACGAATTTCAAAATCGGACCATTTCGTGTTTGCACTTCGCCACACTCCTTTTTTTTAAAATTTTCAACAGTTAAAAATATATTCAGGGGCATTTAGTAACATTGAATACCTGAAAAGCAATTCTGCAAATGTCACCTAATGTACAATATATAACATATATGCATGTATGCTAGACAATCATTGTGCAAATACAACAGTGTACATCTGTATTGTACATTTGGCATATATTTTGTTCTGGCCTCTAAATTGATTAGAAATAACACAACTCCAATGTGGTTTAAGGGCTTTCAGTTTACTTAATTTTTAACACTTAACAACTTAGCAATTTGGGATTGCAAGTCTTTCAGGTTAGAGTTTATTGCGTAAAGACTTTACCGAAGGCCTCAATTTGCCATGGCTTTATCGGGCTATTAGTCGTGCAAATCCCATTCAGTTGATGCCTAAGGCAAATCACGATGTCCGTGATCCAAAAATGGAGACACTTTGTATCTTCCCCATGTTCCAGCCTTTAATCATCTTTGACCATTTAGGTCGGACCTTTATGAGTGGATGGCTTTTATGCCACAGCGTACCCAAATCTTGCTTCATGAACAACCGATCCACTGCTGTTCATATGAACATGAACACACTGTACTGCCATGTAGCACATACTCACCCTTACCTTTATTTTGCACTGAAAGTCCCCGAATAGCATTATCATCCCTGTCAAAAGTCATTCACCCAGATGCCCACTGGTTGATATCACACTGTGTGTCACTGTGTTTGTTCTTTTCTTAATGTATCGTAAGGCTTTTAGTTAAACTGCTACTGTGGCTTCTTTGATCACATTGTTGGTTGTTTTAGTTGCGACTGAAACATAAAGAAAAACAGTGGTTGGACTGGCATGTAATTTTCTTAATGGAAATTCATATTCTCCAGAGGATGAAACCTGCTGACTTTGGTGATTCCCTGACGTATCCTCCAGCGCCACCGTGAAGTTGACAGTTCTAGAAATGACTCACTAACTAGTAGATGAATTTAAGTCGTGAGCTACTAACTATTTCATCTTCCACCACCATTTACAATATTTTAATTGTTATATTTTTGATTTGCATAACATTGTCCAATACTTGCAAGACTAATGACCATCCTAAGATTATGCGTGTTTCTAATTAACATAGAATCTTCACGCACTTAACTAAAATTGGTAAATATGACATAAACCAGTGAAACATCAAAATGTTAGCATCGTCATTATGAGTATGTTAGCATGTTGTGTTAGCACTTAGCTACAGCCTCAAGCATGGCCGTGTGGACTCTAGTATTGTTCTAACTTTGCTGCTTCTGCATATGTAGTATGTGAGGTCAGGTGGACAAAGCACTCAAACACATTTCATTTAACACACAGTAATTTAGTTTGGTACAATGTTTGCCTCCAAATGTAGCACCAAAAACAAAACTGATGCAACAGGAAAGTTACTTAGCTGAAGTATTGAAACATTTAGAAACTGTGTTTTTATTGCAGAGCTATTGCATTGCATCCTATCTTAAAGGTGTTGTGTTTTTTGGTTCACTTAAGAAAATAATATTTTTTAATCCAAGTTGGATTAGATTTTTAACACATTATTATTTCAGACAGTAGCTTTGCTGAAAAAGTGAGTTGGCAAAAAGTTTGCTTAGTAAAAGAAAATCAATGGAATGGGTTTGATCTTACCGTTTATGTTTTAGTGTGAATGACGTGTGTTTCCACTGAACTAAGGGATGGAGAACATCTTGTCTGCAATATTGACCTAATGTCAGGTATTTCGGGTTGCATTAACCTATTTGCGGTGGTGTTTCAAGCCAGTCCAACTAAATTTAATGACAGGTAGGGCGACACAATTAATTATAAAGAGAGGGCCATGTCATTGTTTTTGCTGCAGGGGACTTAAATCTATAGCCCCAAATTTGATAAATGCCAAATAGACATGCTGTGAGAGACGCCATGTCAATTCTAATCTTAAAGCCTTGTGAAATTCCAGGATAAAGTGGAACTAGGTACAAAACATCCAAGGGCCTTGAGACAAAAGCATCTTTTATTCACTTAATGAAATTAGGAAATACTAAGTTAAACATTCTCCTCGTTGGCATGGCAGACAGACTTATTTTAAAATTAAGCCGTATGCTTAATAGAGTCAACTCCATGTTGAGGCACCGTTGTACCACTACAATTTTGTTGGTTTAGATTTATTGGGTTTACAGGAAGACGTGTTTTCCTACGAATTACTTTAGCAGTGCTTTCAGCGGGGATGACTGGTATCTGTAAGTCTGGCTCTCAAGTGTATCAGCTTCTTGGATTCATGTTTTTAACATTGTGGCATTACAAAACAGCATTTTTCTCTTCT